GAAATTGGGGATTAACGTCCACTCGATACAAACTAGGTCATTTCGAGACTAACATATGGTTGAATTTTATTTCAATAATTCGCTTGCGCTTAGGGATCTTTAGCAGTGGGGGGAAACCGGAGGACTCGGGAAAAACCCACAAAGTTGGACAGGCGACCCTACTCCTTGTCACGTACAACCAGGGAATCGAAACCACGCCATCCACCCCCACTGAACTAATTAGGAAGTGTATGTTTCATCCGGCGTGACATTTCGCAAGTTAATTGTTGTTGACGGCAAATGCTGTGAATCCCAATACTAGACCCCACGAAATCCCAAAAGAAATAAAAACTTAAACCTTGTATAATGCTAATCCATCAATATTACCACTATCCATTTGCCAATGCATTATGTGATTGATTTCAATTAAGTCAATGACATGTTTTTAACATTGTACTGTTCAGTATGCTATGCATGTTTCAAATAATGTGGGTTACAAAACGGGATCCACTGTGGCTCAGGGAGTTAGGCGTGGTTTCTCCCTTGTCTGTGGGTGCAGGATGGGGGTGGGGCTTACAAGGACAATGTCTCCGACTCTCGTCGTTCGGATGGGGACGATGTGCACGTAAAAGAACCCTTGATGGTTTGAATTCGAAATTGGAGTAGGCAATAGCACCGCTGTCCGGGCCAAATTTCCCCTTATAGCACAATTCATTATCCCAGTTGTAGCAGAACAGCAGGACATTAAACCCCATTTTATTTCATTTCTGTTGTACCAAAACATTTTGGTATTGTCCGTATTGCGGTTACTTTATTACGAATAAGTTATGATCGTATGTCTGGGCTAGTTAACGAATGTATATTTAGGATTTGTTGACCCCGGCTTTTGGCACTCCTTAATGATAGATTTTATCATATGAATGAACAGATATTGTCACTGTCATGCTTACTTAGCTGAATAAAATATACAGGAGTTAAATATACAGTATAGATCATACCCACAGTGTTTTGTGACAGCTTTCACCTTCTCCTTAATAATTGACCCCTTTCTGACCCTTTACTCATAAAAAAATATGAAATCGTGGGAGAAGCTTTATAGATCTAACATTAAGATATAATTGATCAATTGAAATTATTACGCCCACTGATATTTATGGGCTTTATTGCTATAAAGGGGTTTAATACGACATAAGGGTTAAGGCAACAGTAACTAAGTCTTTTAGATACTCGTGTTGACAATGTGGCACTATATTATGAAACATTGCAATAAATTCACTTACGGTTGAAATGTTTTGTTGTTTTTTTTGTTTTTTTTGGACTATAACCGGGTAGTTCGTGTTCCTGGGTTTCTAAAGTTCCCTGATTGTTTGAAATAGAAATATATCAAATTTTAGTCCCGAAATGACCTAGCTGGGTTGAGTTTGATTGTTATTGTTTGGTGGTACAACTATAGCTGTTAATGGACCAGCTTCTGAATCGTAATTGGTAATTTATATGCTCTTTATTTGTGTTATGAATATCTAGTATATGTTAGATTGGTGGTAAAATACGAGGAAAGACATTCGACGAGTTTAACTGGTTCTTTGGGATTCCAGTATCATTACCAGGTTTACTTCTGATGACACATCGACAAGATGATATAAAATGGCAGGGTATGATTCAAATACTATATTAGGTCTATTCGACAGTGATTTAATTTTCCTGGTTTATATTTCAACTATAACCAATGAACGGAGGACGGTGTAACCACATTTTAAGACAAGAAGGGAAAAAAAAAACTTTATTTGAGTAACGGCTATTTTCGTCATATCCAATGTAATTTAGCGATATACAAATCCCATTAGACTTCTTGTACAGATAAATCACATCCTTGCTTTTCGTTGCACAGTTGTTCTATCTAAAAAAACAATTGTATGTTATGTATTATATTATTTTAATGGTATATTGCATGTCTGTAATCTGGTGATTATGATCTGTCATGATGGATGCCCTATTTTATTTATCCTATAAACATACATGCGCCTCGTGCTGGTCACACCCCGTTTCTATGTAAATAAAAGTTTTAACTGACAGAAACCCCTCCCTTTAGTTGCAGACGATAATGATGTCACGTGTTTATGTGTAACAGGTGTGTCGTATGTAACAGTGTTTTATACCTACATGTACTAGTATATGTTAAACTGTATAACATCGTGTTATATTTGACTAGCAGACGGGTAAATGGTGTGCTATTGTATGGGAATATTGATATTAATTCTGTTCGGAAATTGAAATCAGAAGGTAATAGTTTATTGTTTCAATAGTTGAGATTTTCCGAAAAACATTATTCAGTTATCAGCTGTTTGTTCTAAATGCTAACAGAAGACAGTTGTCAGATTTATTAATGTTAAGATAAACTATAAATAAATTAACCATAAAATCTAAAGAGTGCTTTATAAACATTACCACAGTGGCAGGGAATCTCTCATGAAGATTCAGTACATTTATGATTATAATTGTAGCTCTTATTTGTAAGTGTAGTACATTGTTACAGGAAGTAGATTCATTATTTCAAAGGATTAATATACAAAAACACAACAGTTATGTATACTAGAAGCGGTATCAATCATTCAAGAAAGAGTGTGCATATCATGTCCATTTATCAGGCATTTTAATCTAGGTTTTTTTTTAGATATTTAAACAAATGACTATTATAATTGATACAACAGTGTATTTTACGGATTCAGGGGTATCAATAATCGAGACTGCTCTCATACAGTAAATAATACTTTTGATGTCTTGTCTTGGAAGTGAGTGACCCTTTAAACCGATTTGTCAACATAGATAAACTAGTTCCAAGCCAATAGACTTGGTTGAATTATAACTATCAATTATCCTCATGTGAAAGATAAATATTGATATATAGATAATCATCAATACGAATAGTAAGGTCAAATAACACGGGATTTGTCAAGGCGCTAGTATATAACCTGTCGTTTTAATGATAGCTGCACATGAATTAGTATAGTATAAGTTATGTATCCACAGATTTCCCTAATACCAAAATCTATTTCTTTTTACGTTACAAAGATGTCTTGCCCTAGGTTTGCTAAAACAAAATACGTTATGCAGATGACAAGTAGTGTACAATCTTGTGTAATATGAACTTCTCTTGTGTAATATTTCCTCTAACTTCACTTACAAAACACTCCTAAAATATTTGAATACGGGGCGTGGGCTATTTGAATCTCCGAAATTTTCAATGTCTCCTGGAAAATAGTTCCAAATTATGTTTTCTATAAAATATTTGAATACGGGACTTGGGATTTTTTAATTTTCTAAATTCTCAATGTTTTATGGAAAATAATTTCAGATTGTGTTCCCTTTTTATTATTTTAGAAATCATACTACTTAGAAAACCAAAGAAGTCAACCCTTGACATACATTTGGACGGAAATTAAGTCAAATTTTCTATTTCATTCTATGAATTGACTCAACAAATTACTCATATTTGTCCAATTGTTCTTTAACGCCTTCTTGAGTGCGCATTATTCTTTTTTTCCCTTTATTATACATTTCTGTTGGGGTTAGGTACTGTTATAATGAATGAAAGTATATTGGGTTTCGTCATTGGAAATTGTATAGGATAGTATAATATGGGACACTCATTGAGTCTATTCAGTCATGTACAATTGTTTATTATATTACCCATAACGTTTTGTTTATGCTACCTTTATTGCTAGAAGTTGTTGGTAGAGCACAAAGGCTTCGGGCCATAATGTTGTTAACTACCCAATCAAAAGTCCTCTATCTTGATCACCTAAGTCGTCCTACGTAATCAATCAAAAATGAGTTTAATTCGTTGCGATTATCCAGTGACCTTTTTATGCTTACTACGTAGTAATCTATGCAAACTTATAAACAACTGGATAACCGAGTTTCAAATATATATTTTAACAACGTTATCGCAGATAACTGTTTGATCTACGATATACAAAATTCACCCAAAATTCCGGTTTTTGTGAAATGGATACTAGCGAAGATGTTGCTTTAGTGGATCAGAATGAAATTGGTAAAGTTAATACATACATTAATCATTGGTATATTATGAATGTTGACGTAATCCTTATTGTTTTTTATATACTAGTAGGAGGAACCTAGAAATTTCACATTGTCGTGTTTAAATAGGTCTTCGAAATCGTTAACCATGTCAAAATGTTAACTCAATTGTAAATGGTGACCTACATATGAACATGAAAAATACGTTATATATTAATTTTATGATTCATTCTCTTTTAATTCAGAATGAATTTTAAGTTTTAATAAGGGTTTGACTAATGAATATCTTGATGAATACGTATTGAGTACATACACGTACTACTACCGCCATATACTTGTTGTTTTGATGCTTCATCATCCCGGTTAAAACTAAAAAGCAGGACGTCCCATTTCATATTATATACTCCTCTTTGTCTTTCATTTTGTGGACACTTTGTATTTGTTGTTTCAATAGCATTTAGTAATTGTTTTAATAACCTTTAGTAATTGAACTGAAAATGCACAGGACACGTTCTATAGAATATGATTATTAATGTTTATTGCTTGATAAAGAGAATAGAGAAGAGAAGTCTAGAAGAAACGTCCCTCAGTAATGAGAAGTAATTGTATTCCATAGAATTGACCTGTGTATCTTTGTACATGTATTTGGTTACCCCTTATTATTCACTATACGTACAGTATTGTATTCTGTTCTAAAACAAAACGTATTTGTATTTGAATCCAAAGGCATGGAGGTATGTTCATTGATATTTCTTTATTTAGTTTACAAAGGAAATAGTTTCCCTCACCAGTACAAATTATGGAGTCACAATGGGAACATTTGTGGACACAGCATCTGTTAGGTTGTTTCTTGCTTACCTACTGTTGTAGAATGTGTCTGAATAGTAAACAAGTGATGCAAAGAATACAAATTATTTACATTATGTGTAAAGTGTTCGGTGTTAAGAATTCATTGTCTTATTCTTTTGAATTTATCTTTTCAGAACACTTCGGACTTCCCGACCAAGAGGAGCGACAGGCACTGAGTGTGTTACCAACGGTAGATCACGATATGACAGACGGCGGTAACAATCCTCCAGCATTGGAGGAGAAATTGGCACAATTTCAAAATGACACCGTCGAAGATAAAGGTGAGATTCAAATATCTCTTTAGACAAGAAATCACAATGATCCCAATTAATGTCAATTTAAAGATATGTGACTTTGAAACTCGGGATTATAGTAATGATGCAAATTGGTTACCTGTGCTATTTTAGTATTTAATTTTGATAATTTGTCCCAGTAAGGAATTGAGTATAGAACTGTCTCCATTAGTTTCTTTTTTAACCCTATAAATATCCATTACGTAAATATTTGTCAAATATGTATGACTTATTTTGTTTGGAAACAAACACATATAAGAGATTAAAAAACTGGCTATATATATGCGATTCGGGGGATTGATGTATGTGTGTGTAAACTGAACATGAAATTAGCGTCTGCGGTAGAATGTACCAATAAACGCTAAAGTATTTAAAAGAGGCATATACAAACCAGTTAGTGTACGTCAAAAATGTCCTGTGAAATGTGGCATGAGTTAGAGATATATATTGTCTCTTGAAACATCCCCCGAAAGAAAATAAAAACAACAACAAACAAATGTCAATTGTCATCTACAAAATTATTTAATGCGTGAAAACAGCTGTAGCAAATTATTAATTCAGTTCGACCAAAATGTCGACTCCAGGCGTAGCCTATTTAGTTTGGTACACTAGTATGAGTCATCGAATATGTTCCCGTTTCGGTCAACTTTAATGTCGTAATATTACCATGATTACATGTGGGAATTGGTAATATACTGATAAATTATTCAACAGTGACGTACAAGTGTTTGGTGATGCCTGGGGCCAACTCCTTGATTGCATGCCCCCAAGACTCAATTAAATATGTAAGCACAGATAAAATAAACTATTCATTCAAATTAAGTAGGACAGATAGTATCACGGAGTTAAAAACGATAATTTCAAATGTCAAAAATCTTAATTTTAATATCACTTTTTGTTTGGATTATGTTGATTATCAAAACGTGTTAGTGCGAAACTGAAGACTTATTATGTTCAAATCATTTTTAAAAACAACAGGTTTAACTTAAAGATGACCACACTCCGAGAATGGTTGTGACATGAGAAACGAGTGGCAACATTCAGTGTGATAAAAATATCTAGGTATCTACGAATTTAAAACAATTGAGGTCATCGAGGTTGTAAATATGTAGCCATGTCGCTGGACCATCTCCAAGAGATCAAAAAATGTTTATAGCTTGATATAAGACAATAAAAACGGGTTTGATTAAGATATAAATTGTAAATTATTTGCACACATATTTACAATATCCTAGTAGTTGGTCAGAAAATCTGAATAAGGATACCGAACAAATGTATATTGAATCTGAATAGGAGTACCAAAATGTCCTTACTGAATCCTAACGACTGTGACCAACGCGTGCACATATAAGTTTAGTGAGAGTATCTAATGTGTGCACATTGAATATTAACGAGAGTACCGAACATGAGCATATTGAAATGAATCTTAAAGTACATGTAGCTAAGTCTCTAACTCGATATGATCCAAAGTCTTCGACAATGAAACCGCGTATTATTTGTCAATTTAAATCATCATTAATGTTTTGATCTTACCAGGAAATGATGGGCTTCTGATATCCAATATAATTTAAGACAAAATAAACATTGTACCATTGGTACACGAATCGTGTTACATAATGCATTCCAGCGCCATTTGTAACAAGTGACTCGAAGAACAAGACTAGACATATTCAACAAGTCATGTCAAACGGTGACGCCATATTTTTATCTGGAGAGTATGCGCAATATACTATCGGTGTCTACTGGAATAACCAGACTGACGTTAGAGATTGCCATTCGATTGAGACTGAAATTAGAGTTAAATCAGAAACGACTGAATGTAAATCAGTTTATATACATTCATATTACAAACTATTATATGCGTTGCAACCCATTTGTGTCAATTTCTAGTTCCCAAATAATAGCGATTTAGCTCCTTTAACTGGACTGTCCAACTTGTGCTCATTGAATCTTAACAAGATTACCCAGCGTGTGCACATAATGTTAACCGGAGTACCCAGCATGTGCACATAGAATATTAACGAGGGTACCCAACATGTGCACAACAGTATAAACAAGAATGCCAAAATATGGAAAATCCTTTAATGAATGATCATATATTTATATTGTGGGTTGTTTCCATTAGCCATTGAAGGACGTACGGTGTTTCTGTTAGTATGTAAATTCATCACATTATCATTTATACTTTATTTGTCTCTTTATTTTCAGATCGTGATCCGGTCAGTGTGAGTGAGTGTATGTCACAACTGGATAAACGACGCAGAAATCTTATTTTCGACGAAGAAAGATTCGAAGAAACCTTTTTGAAATGTATGATCTGTAGGGAAAATTACAATGATTATGACAAACTACCCAAGATGCTGCCGTGTCATCATACTTTCTGTCTTGATTGTCTCATGCAAATGTTCCGTGTCGAGGGCGAATACAGACAGACGCTGACGTCTGCTTTCCGTGGAATGCCAATGGCCGTGAAAATCCAGTGTCCATCTTGTCGAGAAGGTATAATTGTATCAGAAGCCGAGTTACGTCGATTACCCAGCGACCATACCATCACTGAACTTGTCTGCTTCGTGAAATCAACAGGAAAGACAGACGTTCAGTACTGTTCCAAACATCAACTTCAACCATTGAACTTTTTCTGTGAGCCCTGTATTCAACCAGTTTGTTGTGATTGTACCGTCATTGACCACAAAGAGAAGGCAGGTCATCTTGTTATCAATGTTGACGAAGCTATGAAGAAGTATAAACCGAAAGTAGAAGAGACGATAGAATTGATGAAGAAAGATCTCGAAGAGCTGGTAGAAAAGCAAGAAGCTATCAGCAAATCTAACGAAAGCTTGGAGCAAATTCAAACAGAGCTAAATCGGCAGATCAAATCCACGTTCGACAGAATCCGGGAAACTTTGGATGAACGGGAGAAAGAACTGTTCGATTCAGCAGAAAACGAAATACAGAAAAAGGGCATTCAGCTGGAGAAACGGCGCGTAGCGTTAGCTGATCGTGAAACGGAGGTTGCCACAGAAGTGAGAGGTTTGGATGATGCTTTGAAAGAGAAAAACATTAGTTTCCTGTTTACCGGACACAAGGAAGCCCAAAAGGTTCTTAATAAGACAGTACATATACCTCCCGATACCACTAATGATTTCAGTGTCTCCTTTCAGTTCAATAGCCGCCAGGAGCTCACTATACGACAACAACTAAATAACTTTGGAGAAATTGTGTTTACATCATGAATGAACTCGGTCCTGACAAAATTAAGATTAAACTAGCTGTAGTGGGGTATCAGTAATCCTGCTTTCCGTGTGCTTTTGTGGGTCGGTGGATTGACTATCAAGGCAGATTTTGTGGACGATATAAAACTGCTTTCAGTGTTAACAAAAGCCTATATAGATTCCTATTAGGTAATCGAACAATACTATGTTATAATTATTTATATAATTTATCATAAGATATTCACATGATTATAATTCCAATTAGATAATATATTATTATTTATGGTATTTACTGGCATTTCTGATACCACATCGGTGTTATGGGCATAAGTGTACTGTATCAAAATTGCATATCATGTCGTAATTAAGCGAATACGCAAAGGTCAGCATGCACATCTGACGTGTCACATTTCGTGTTTTATGTTGTGACGTGTTATTATTTGTGCACATCAGTTCTGTGTTGTTTATTGTTGTATATTTGGATGAGGCCGTGGAGTTCTAATTCGTTAGGTCATCATGAATGCATAAAGCATTTAAGGTCATCACGAATTATATCAAATATTTGAATATATAAGATGGTTGTGTTGTGATGTCTACAAGACGTGATCTACGTACTTAGCCTATACATAAAAAGGCTACTTTGAAAAGCGTACTTATGCAAATACTGCTTAGATGAGCTTACTGAATTATCACAATACAAAAGCAATGAAAATCATAAGTTTTTATGTTTTGTAAACTTACCATTAAATGCAGCCGGATATGAAATTGTTAGCAGTGTGAACTACCCAAATGTTCGAAGTTGCATCATGTGTACTTAACCCAATCATTACTAGCTAATCAGTAAGTGTCTTTAAACTTCTCATACCCCTTTGGTGCAATATATATGTTCTTTGTCATAATAGACCGCTGTTATGTGATATCAATGTATCTGGTAATACTATATGCCTGGAGAATATTTAAATAAATTCTTATACCTCAGTGATATATATATCTTCAGTATCATAAATTTGTGGATATTTTGCATATTATTATGTAAATGTGTTAAGTTAAATCCGTCGAAAAGAATTAAACACCCTGCCTTACTTCAGTAGCTTTGTATATTAGTAGTGGTAGTTTAGTTCAGTAATTATATTAGGTTATTATCACACACCCTTTGTTAATTTTGTAAAGTATGCCTAATTTATATGTAAAATTAAATTACAAAAAAACATCAGTCATCTGTTTGTCTTTGTCTCAACAATATTTTTATTGTGTCCAGTTCTTTAAAGTAGGTTTCATTAAATAGACGTTGGCTCGCTAATCTGAATGTCTCGTGTTTGATCCCTACATTGGCCGAGAAAGTTCATCTGGATTTTCCCCCTTTTCAGTGGTGCAGGTCAGAAAGCCTGGTAAGGGACAACGGATAGTGGTTCGGGTGGAATGAAAAACAGAGACCCCGTGCACAAATTGGCGTGCACGTAAAAAAATCCCATGGCTGTTGGAATACGATATACGAGTAGGCCGTAGCGTCACTGTCCAGGTGTATGTCCGTCTTTATCATCCCGGTCAGAGCAGAGCAGTAGGACGTTAAACATTATTTCATTTCATTTCATTTGCTATACAATACAGAAAAGGTAAGAATGTCCAGGTTTCCGATGATCACACATCATTAAAAAAAACGTCAGTTCTTCGATAATATATCATATACTAGCAGTAATGGGCCTTGTTGGGGTTGTTTAGTAAAGCCTAACTGACAACCTGCCGTACGGGCAGTCTACGGGGGGAAATTTTAGAAAACCCGTGCGTGAGAATTACGCGTCATTTGTGCGTTGTGTGTTCCGCACCGTAGAAGATCGCACCGTAGAAGATCGCAGAGCTACCAAACCCTACGACTCGTACGTGTCAAAAAACGTACGGCGGGTTGTGAGCTCGACTTAAGTCTGCTCTATGATTCTACCCGTGCAGTTTATAATCACCCTGTTTCATTCCCTGTTTCCGAAATGTTTCCAAAACATATGGCGCCAAAATAACACATACCCCCACCCCACCCCTAATAACCACAATATTATAGAAAGGCCAAAGAGTGCACACACATCCTTTATACAGAACTAGAGATAACCGATAGATGGGTGTGTCAAAAATTAACTAAAAAAAAGTTGTTAATTTACTGTAACCAAACGAAATGTGGTTTAATAAACTTACGCCTTACTTTTTGCACCAACCGGGTGAATGAAGACGTGGATACGCCATTCAGTCTGTTAATGACGGAAATGTTGCCCAGATATAAAAGTGACGTGTCCTTGCCAGTGCCATTCTCACCCAGTCACATTTTGTATTATATTTTAACTATATCTTGTAGATTACCAATACATGCACAAATACACGGGACTAATTTTGGGAGACCAGAAACAGTTCAGCCCAAAAGTTATTAAATATTTGGCGGAAAACAGGTAAAGGGGGATAATTCATGGTTTTTCTCCTGTTGAGAATCCCAACAATATTCATATTTTCATTTACTTGTCCATGTAGATTCATATTTTTATATACTTATCCATGTATCTATTAAGTTAGTAATTATACAAGAAGAACAATTGTATAAATGGAGGAATATTATCTGGAGAGTAATCCAACTAGTAATGTCCTCAGAGCACCTAGAAACCAGCCACTTCAAGTCAATTTAATGGCTTTGATACAAGATTTAGTCAGGGTTCGATATTTAAACTCCTTTCTTTTCTTCCCAATTTTATTACATTATGGGATTTCGAAGAATTACTGAAAGGTGTATTTGGGATTAGACAAAGAATTGCTGATAAATAGAAGGTTTGATACTAGTAGTTAAAAACCTTCTTTGGAATCCTAATGCCTGACATTAAAGATCAGGATCCACCTGCCATTTTAAACTCTGGGCCAATCTGATTAAAATACAGATCTATATTTCGTTTCGTTTTTTATACTTTAGATGGCCTACACTACATGAAGATCTGATAAGCTGTACTCGAAGGTCGTGTCAGGGGTCGCACGAGCGGCTTTTGGTCCTATGACGTCAGACATCGATTAATCAATGAGCATTGGCGTTTCTAGTGGTTTACCCACATTTCCGTGCATGACACGACAAGAAGTCGCCGTAACAGACTGTTTCATTGGCTTATCCCTTAATTCAACCAAAACGCCGGTAATATAACAACTCTTCCAGATCCCAGTGTAGTAAAACGAAATTTTGAACTATAAAAATGAAACGAAATAGGATCTGTGTTTTAACCAGATTAATTCTGGGTAGGATATATATTACAACTATCAATAAAAATAGGAACAAATTACATGTCGGATACAATGACAGGAACCACGTGGCTGATTTTGACAATGGCGGGCAGCTTATTTCTAGGCGTATGCATAGCGTAGTCATTATCTAAGTTTTATTTTATTCGGAATTCAACTTTATTTAGCTATATGGATAAAACAACTTGTGTGTGTCACCAGGATAATATATTACTATTAACAATAAGGAATACTATGGCTCTTACCAATTAAATTTATTCAAATTTAAATCCTGGGAGCAGGTGAGCGTCTATAATTGGATCATCCTGTAAACTTTTGAAAGACATGTTAGGTAATATATAGCCGACTTCTTAAACTGGGATCTGGTCTGGTCAGAAGATCCCACTTCTCTTTTTGTCTTCGTTTTCTTTAGTTTACCAACTGAGCAAAGCCAGATTGGTGCATTTAGTTACGAACCACTAAATAATGTAGAATCATCGGTACACCCCAATGACCGGGTGGTATGGATGACCCTTGATTCGTTCCAACGGGGCAACGAAACAATTATTGAAAGTATGTAAGAGACGCAACTATTTCAAACGATAGCACAGATAAGGTTTCATTTTAATTTACTTATAGCTTTCGATACTTTGACATTCAACCCTGTGGCCAAAATTTATGTGTCTCCAGTAGCCATGCAAAAAGATAATGTATTAATAAATCTGATCTCAGTTTAAATATTCTATATCATGTTGTTTATCTCCTTATTTATCTAAATAAAACGATCAAAATCTAACCTGTGATTCAGAGAAATAAATTCTGGAAACCTAAGCGGTGGCGTGCATGGATTTGGCAGAGGGGGCGACGGGCCACTGGCATTTATTTCCAGAGAACCTCCAATGAAAGAGAGAGGTAATATAGGCCTAGCCTGTTCCTCAATCCTTTTCTGAGAATAAAATATTGTTTATAAAAAAAGAGAGCGAAATTTGAATTATTTTTTTCATACTTGAAATTATCGCTGGTAAACTTTATTTCATCTCAATTATTTAAAAGGTATTCCTCTCTCATATTACTGAGTACTAGACTTGGAAGGCATACAATCAAGGTGTTGGCTCCGGACATCACCAAACCCCTGCACGCCAGTTCTTCAACTAATTGATCAACAGTGACAAAAAACACACAGAACAACACGAGAGAGAAAGTACCAAGCAATATTTAAGAAAAAAAAACAAATGTGTGTACAAAGCGCCATCACCAAAAAGTGAAAGTGTCCAATATTCTAAATGTATTTGGACGATTTTATAGTCGTTATATGATTACTTATCATTTTTTATACATAAAATTAGGCCGAAATCAATCAAAGTAATCAAGTTCAGGTGATACACATCTTATGAAAAATGTTGTTAACCTCAATGATATATGTTTCCACTTACATAACCAAAATGTCATTTTATCAAGATAAAAGCTCATCGCTGATTGGATAACACGATTAATCAATTTGAATTAACCGAATCATCGCGATCGATTTTTAAATCCCAGTAATGTGTTTTTGATTAGGCTACATAATATACTGTATAAAGATTTTTTTTTTCATTTACTTAAGGTAATATATATAAAATAAAAGGATAGTTTTGAATAATTTAGCATCGATATACTTTCTCAAATCCTTCACCAAGAAAGATTACAACTGACTCTATTATACATATTAAAGTAAGTACCACTAGTTTATAATAACTTATTTTCTTTTTTATAACAGAATGAATTGGGTTTAAAGTCCTACTTTTCTGCGACAATCGGGCTAACAACAAAGATAATCTTTATAACGCGATCAGGGTCATGTTTCTATATTCATAAAAATTGTAACAGGTGTTGATTTGACGTCAAGAACAACTGAAGGGTCCACGAGAGAACTGTTTTACTGGCGTATGCTTTTGATAAAACATATAGAAATTTAAATAGTTCTTATTTATATGGAGTTATACTTGTAAAATACAGACGGTGTCTCCCATAAAGACTTGTGTGGCACTGTACTTAAAAATTCATTTGGCTTTTTAAATATACGTGGTTTTCATAGCTATCGACTGAGTGAAGATGTCATCAGTCTGACTACACCAGGTATGCAAGTATACTAATTGCAACATGGTTTTCAACTATAATGTTAACAATATTCGCTAACAAAATCATAAAATCTCTTGCACCTCTTTGAAACATTTCGGTGGAAACTTACAATTTGGAAGCTTGCTATTGGTTTTGCGCTCTTTTTTTTTAATGAGGACCTTAGCTTATTTTACTTTACTCCAGTCTGAATTGAATTTTCCCAAGATCGCTGGGACCGCAGTCTAGGGACTGAACTCTTTTTAACTAGAATGTCTCCGGCCTGGGCCAAAAAGATCCTTCGGGGTTTATGAATACCGGTTCCCAGCGTTAACGGAGCTCTCACGAAAAGTATGCCTATATTCCTTCGGAATTCACCTCTGTAGCATAGCAGAAAATTCCGAGAATCAGATTAACCAGTTAACGTCCTACTATTCTGTACGAACTCGGCTAATGGAGACGTAGTGCAGGGTTCCATGATTATTTTACGTGCACTCACAACGTGTAAATCGGGCCCCGGTTTTTTGTTTCATCCAAACGATTAGACGTTGTTCCTTGCAAGAACACTCCGTAAAATGTCTTTTATAAATAGACAGGTTTTTTTTAACATTTACCAGATTGCCATCGTAGAACCATTATGTTTTGTATAGCAGTTAGCAGGCCCGGATCCAGGATTTTGTTGAAGGGGGGGGGGGGCATACATTGGAGCAAAGGGTAATCATCAGAGTGCCGCATGCATTAGTGGTTTGATGTAGTCCCCAGAGGCTTCGTCGCGGCCTCATTAAACAGAAACTAAAATCTGGGAATCCCATTGCTGGCTGCAGGTGCTGATCTAAACAGTGATGACCAGTCTCACTGAGGCGGCCCCTGCCCCCCCCCCCCCCCTTGAATCCGCGCCTGGTTAGGCGACATTGTCTATCAAATATATTTTCCATGCAGATATATCAGTATGTTTTCAGAGATTTAATCAAAACTATTGCCCTGTAAGTAACGATTACACCCGACTTTAATAAGATTCTCTCCACCACTATAGTTGTTCGAGATTGAACTGGCTCCAGCTGCAATAATTATTGAAATAGAATTAGGTTCTGGGTGAGACACGTGCAATTATTATTGATGTTCCGTTTCGTTGCCAACTATAAATAGATATTCTTCCTAGTGTAGATTTATTGATTTTCCAATTTCCGCGCAAATAAATTGTTACATCTGAATTGGTGGTTAAATTTAGACCTGTTTAATATTTGTATAATGTATATATTATAATAAATCGCACACAATATTTTTTTCGTGAATTCAAAGCTGTATAACGCAATATTTGACCCCATTAGGTCAGATGAGCGGGAAGTACAGTTTATGAAACTAGACATGCGTACTAAGGGACAATCTTGAGTCAATAACGGTGTATAATGAACAGTACACACTTACAGAAAGGATACATATAAACAAAAAGTCGATACATATCGCCTTTACTCTGATATCAGTGGACAGCTACACCGTGAGTACCTTATGGCTTATATCTATTACACATTATCTGGATAGGTTCTGAATTGATTCCATTTGAAAACCTTTTCTCTAAGACAACCAAAATCAGCATTTAAACCATTGTCATTGTTTCAACATTTACACTGAGTGTAACGACCCGCCACAAATAACTAGACATTTTATGTCAACCAATTTCAAAATAGAGACAATCTTATCAAGACAAGTGTGTATACACGCGGATATGACATATGCCTAAAACACAAAAAGCGTATTTATATTTTTCCTACATTATATCAGTCGCATTATGAGGAAAGATCATGAATATTTCAATAGACATCGAGACTGCTTTATCAATACCCGAAAGATGTGTTTTATCCTGGTAGTTTTCCATTGTTTACAATACATTTCAACCTGATTTACAGAATATGTCACGACACAGGTGTATAATCAATTTTATTTTTAATGATTTCCATGAAGACATTTATTGCTTAGCCTCTGGCTTAATATTCAAAAGCTTATACCTTTGTTGAGACTAGCCTATACGTAGATTATTGTAGAACGTGCAGGTCATGGATTTAAAACAAAAATACGTATATTTATTACTGAGGTCAGTTAATTATAGAAACAATGTAGGAATGTTGATCCGTTTAAACAAGGTCGCTTTTGAACAATACACTTTTCTTTCCCCTTAGTAGTAATCGTTTTATACAGCGATGGGTTTTTGTATATGAAAATCAGTAATCACAAAGCATGAAATAAATGACAGACGTTGTATGCAACAAAACCATAACACAGTTTTATAGTATTGATAAATGATTTACATGCCAATCATGGCATCCACTATAAGATTCAACGCTCTTAATTGGGTGTGGCTATGGTATACATTGGGCGTGATTATACGTGTTGAACGAAAATGGCAACTTTCTTATATGTATGGCATTGCTACGAAAATAAGAACTACGTCCGGTGTAAGAATCTAAGCACGCTGCATAAACAGGCGTGTAATTGTCATTTCGCAGCCTTGCCCTGCCAAATTTATATGTTTCAATTCAAGCAATCTGATGAAATGATAAAACAAAGAACTCATTTTGGACAGATGTACTTAAAAACATATAATGAAAATGTTTAAATATATACATTTATTAATACATTTTTAAAAAGTCTTATATATGACAACGGACCATTAAGTATTTTAATCAAAGGCTTACATCTTTTTGTAGTGGGTCATTATTGTATATATTTGACTGGCCGACTGGTATATACGTTTAGTTGTTTAATCAACAGAAAAGTTGAACAAGGTACAAATATAATGTGACACGATCCTGTCATGCATATTATAATGCATCATAAACTTTTTATAATAGCCCGAAACGCGGATCATAGAATGAAAATATATAGCTGCCATGTGTCATTTCACGATTTAATTTTTATACAAGTGTATAGTTTTATAAGTGGCATGCAAAGGTTTAGTTATGCCCGGGACCAAGCCGCTGGTCGTATACCTCTATATATTATTATTATTACAAAATTTATATAGCGCCTCTTTCACGGATGTTTTCAAGGGCACTTTACAGTGTAACAAAAACATACATTCAAAGTAAATAACATCAAAGTAAATAACATCAAAAAAGTTTTTAAAAATACATTAAATAAGCAATTATTTCATAAAATACATACAAGAACTACAATAGACAAAATAATAGGTGTTAAAATTTGTTATAAGCCTTTAAAAATAAGAAAGTTTTAATCTGTTTTTTAAAATTAACTAGTGATGATGCAATTCGAATATTAAAAGGTAATTGATTCCATAAAATAGACGCTTGATAACTAAAAGATAACTTACTCTAACACATAGGTTTAATGTAGAGCCTAGTACTCAGATATTTTAAATGTTATTCAAATTATGTAGGGCAGCTTGTACAGCCAAGTTAATCAAGGTAGTTTCCCCAAAACTTAAAGGACAATTTTGGCGTCAATCATTATCACATATGCGTAAAAACTTAAAGGACAATATTGGCGTCAATCATTATCACATATGTGATAGAACTGGTTAAACACGTTCCAAGTATAATTTTAATACAGAGATCATTACTACGATAGATGCGTTATGAAGATTTCAAGAAAGGGAAGTGACAGACGCAAAGGAATTATCCTTGTATATAACAGACGGAAGTGACGAGTGATGACAGATACACGGGTGAATTTCTGCTCACTAATAATTCCTAAGAAGACCAAAAGTTGTTATGTGAGGCTGTGAGAGGATATCTGATAATCAAAAAAAGTAATTGAATGTCACAAAATAAGGGAAAACGAGAAAAATAGAAAAGTTCCGTACGGACGGATTGCCAATAAAACTGATGTGGATATACTACACAATCCAGAATTTGAGAGTTCCAGACAAATTCTTGATGGTCAGATGAAGAAACTAAGTAACCTGGGCCTGGCAAAATTCGTCGTACGGATCGTTTGACAACATTGTACAAAAAAGTGAATAAAATGTTTAAAAAAAAGAATGTGTATCCTTTTTTATTGCAGAGCGATGTAAACCTGGGGACGATATCAGATATTACCCTCTGATGACGTCACAGCCGATATCAGATATCACCCTCTGATGACGTCACAACAGGTTGATACGTTTCATAACGTGCATGGGAGATCAAAGCAAATAACATCTCAAGGTGTGTAAGATTAGATAAGGAGCTGACAGTTCTTGCTGTAAAAGTTAACAAAATAGATAATGATAAGGGAATATGTTGAAAATTTCAGTCAAATTACTTCACTCTGAGCCGAGTTGTCTCCGTTACAAGAACAGTGTCATTGCTACAGTTGTTACGATAATAAACTAAGTCTCGATTATCCATTTTTACGTTAACTTATTAATCGCAAATCGTATTTAAATCTGTTGAAAATATAGAGTGTCCGATGGCACCGAGATTTGATTATTTTCTTGGTAAGTTAATTGATGTCTAAGTAATTATTTATATAACATTTAAGACATAAAGAAAGACCTACAAAAGGCAGATTTAGCTCTTGCATAATGTATGTTTAACTCTTTGATTAGATACCTCAAGAAATGGTTTCACGGGGTCTTCTTCTCCCCTCTTTCTCTCTCTGCATTCCCATGATTTCATATACATTTCATATACTTATTGTATATGGTATATCACACATGGTCTATCTACTGGGCGATAAAATTTATGAAATCGATGATTCTGTGATTAATGATCACCATTAACCTACTTACGAAAAGAAAGGAGTATAGCGCCCAAGGAATTTAAACGGTATATTAAAGGGACAATAACACTCTTGCTGGCTTGACAGCTCCAGAAAATAAAAAATAGCCTTATTCTAAGTACTAGATGTGTTAGTGTCTTACTTGTTGTGTAAATTATCCATTAAATCCTATTTTACTTGTCCAGAGGGTTCAAAAATATTTTTAAATCCAAGTCACATTTGAAAAGCTTTACGTCAGGCTTTTCAAATCATTTAGTTGAATTTTTCCAATTTTTTAAATTAGGTGATGAAATTTATATCACCAATTAATTGGAATATTGTAAAATAGTACAATTTGTTGACAAGAATAAAGATTGGGAAATATTATTCAGTTACAACAAGAGTGGTATTGAGCCTTTAAACAGTAAAACAATACCCCCACGCCCACCTTAACCAGTTGTATACACTTGGGTTTTATTATTCATATAACGCCCTACAAGACCCGTATGCCTATATACTAGTACAGTTTGATTGATCAAGAAATTCAAATGATCTTGAATGAAAATATACCAATATAGATAGATAGATAGATGTTGTCAGTGATAATCAACTTGAAGCAACATTGAAGTTTTAAACAGAATTGATTCCTACTGAAAACAATGTCCTTTTCATTAAGATATCATATTGGATAATGGATCTTTAAAAGCAAGTTAATGTAAATGTGACGTAAATAAAACGTCTGAATAGACCAATGTCTGTGTACTTTAATGTTTTCACTTTTGTGCTCTTACGATAAGTGCACCACGACAAGCAGTTTCATAACTGACCCGCGGTGAACCCCTTAAACTGGAATAAAAGATAAGGTGGGTCTCATTTAGGACGTTTGCTTAAAGTATTCGTGTTTCAATAGTACTAATAGAGATATAAAGTTTTAGTGAAAAAGCTTGTCGCTAAGCAAGAAATTCCCGCCCAATAATAGGCTCTTAAACATTCAAAATGTAAACGGCACTACACCCTTCTTCGATGCTGCTTACTAAATGCAGTGTAAATGAAAATATGTGACATATAACTTTTTAAACAAATAGTGCTTTGGGAAAAGGTGCTTTGTATTGGACAAGAATCAATTCAGTTGCCCAACTAGATCATAAATTGAAAGAAGTAATTGTGTACTGTATATCAACAAATTTGGGGATCGGAGTACGATAAAGATTTTTTTTAAAAATAGCTTGAGTAAAGAGTTGTTGGCGTGTGCATATACACAAAAAAGAATGATGTAGTAGTAGATAGATATATTAATCAAACTGGTAAGCTACTTGAACTTTTATATGACCTTATCACATTTTCGATGCTGTGAAGGAAGATCTGTGTAGAGATTTTTCTGCTACTTGAGTTTTTTTGGTCCTATTTTCGCACCATTTATTCTATTTTTCATAAACTGTATTAAGTGAACGCTCGGATAAACATCAGTGATTTTGTAGTAAAAAAATAAAAGCTACAGGCAAATATTTTGTTATTACTTACTGTTAATAGAAAAACGTATTATTTATTTATATACACGGACAATAAACATCATTATCATCACCTTGTCCTGTATTGTTCATGGATGTAGATATAAGGTTAGGCCGTAGCGCCGCTGTCCGCGCAAAATTTCCCTCACACAGTATGGCGTATGTCCGTCTTCATTACCCCAGTCGGAGCAGAATTACAGTTGGGCGTTGAACCCTATTTCATTTCATTTCATTTTATTTATTATAAACTAAAATGTTTGTAGAATGGGACCCTAGTTAGATCATTTTTCATCATGGTTTCTTTGTGTATACTAATCTGCATCTGATGAATGACACGGTAGATCAGTTTTTGAAGCATGACTGCTTGCACTAATGATGTTGGTCATGTGTTTCTAAGACCAAAAAAACATTTGAATATACGTCCTTAACAGGAGTCTAGTGTGCTTAGTAATCGGAACTGAAAGTATCTAAAACAATATAGCACCATTTCATAGTGACGGTTGTCGTACACAAAGAAGGATATGCTTACTTTGTAAAGAAAACTTGATACTGCTTTTCACTGAGTTCACAATGAACTGACTAACAAAACTTTTGTTGTTTGGACTGAAGAAGTGAGTGGATTGGTGCGCAGTGGAGGACAAGAAAGCATTTCATACTACACCTATATTCACAAGCTGACGCCAACAGGTGAACAAAGCTTACCTTCAGAGAGGTTATATACATGTACGTATCAATCAATCAAAATAAAACCTGTGTTATTTATTGACATGTAGACTAGTTTTGATGTACATGTTTAAATGACATACAAGTTAGAAGAAACCCAAGTATGTGTATTAAGCAGGGCGGTTACAGAACTTTGGAAAAGGGAGATGATGATGTTGGTGTCTCACATAACAACTTTTGGTCTTCGAAGGAATTATTAGGGAACAGAAATTCGCCCGTGTATCTGTTATCACTCTTCACTTCAGTCAGTTATATAGAAGGATAACTCGTGTTTTCCTTTTGCGTTCGTCACTTCCTTTTGTTGAAACCTTCATTACACATTTATCGTAGCAATGATCTCTGTGTTAGAATTATATTTGGAACGTGTATAACGAGTTCTATCACATGTGTGATAATGACTGACACCAATATTGTCCTTTAAGTCTGTTTGTAAAGTGCTATAGCAAACAAAGTGTAATATTAGAAAATTCCATGATATAATCATGCATACCAAACCTGTTTTGTCCTAGATAATAACTTATTTAGATTGAATCAATCTAGATCACTGATTACTGGCGAATTATTTGATTTCATTTCATACATTGAAATAATAAACATAAAAATCCAGGAACAGAGCATCTGAGAACCTATATATTCGAAACTCATCTGGTCATAATTTAATATCCGTCTTTACATCACGTATGGATGATCTCAAATCTAATATTTAGACCGGAGCGTAGGACGACATCTGCTAACCGATTTCTCTTTTTCAACCTTTTATACAAGGGTGTTAACAACATTTTTGGCTCTACAAATTGAATAGTATAATGGAAACACCCACATGTCGTATCGAAGTGTAAATGTGGCTTACATTGACTCACGCCTTCAAGTACAAACAGCTCCTGTACTTTTAATTAGATTATATAAAGAAACTGATTATAAACCATACTGGCTTAGCCTTTTTAACACATCCGATACCACGTGTTATTTTGATTCATATATTATAGCTAACATAGGTCCTTGCGCGTTGCATCACAAGGTCTGCCATTGAGTCAAGTGGAATGTATTTACGTGACAAGGATTATGGTCGCCTGTCCAACCTCGTGGGTTTTCTACTGGTCCTCCACTCCAGCCCCCCCCCCCCACCACACACACACACACACACACTGCTAGAGACTTCTGCTCGCAAGCGAATTATTAAAATAAAATTGAACCGTAAATGAAGTCCCGAAATGACATAGTTTGTGTCGAGTATTTAAACACCTTGGACAAGTTCCTTGTATTTCAGCTTGTTTGGTGACTCCTCTGTGGCTATTACCCCGAGGTTATTCCATACTATCCAAGTCCAAGACACGGCTAGTGAAAACGATAGGGTATGCCTTCTAGAGCATTGTCCCAGGGGCTGGTAACCCTGCAATATTTTGTCAACAGGCTATACGTATAAATAATACACGTGTTTTTAAACTGAAGAGTCGATCTTATGCGAACATCAAACAGAAGGTTTAAATGTATTAAGTTGACTTACTTGTAAACAATAACACCATATCACTCGACTCGGGTCGTAGATCGTAGATCGTCATAACAGTTTTCGATTAATAAAATGTCACGTGTTTGATGCATTTGGTTAAACTAGAATCGTATTTGCTTTACGACTATAATTTAAATTTATTTGCTTTTGTTAAGTTAATGAGATAGCCTCAATCCACTTTGGGGGTTAAATGGTCGTTCTTCAAGACTCGATAGAAATATCCCCAAAACGACTAAGAATGCATCAAATGGACACAATGGAAACCGTCTCTGACTGTCAGTAGGATTACCATAGTGTTTCGTTTGATTTGACATTTGACAGAAATATGTAAGACTACGTACGTACGTACATTGACATTATTGTATTACCTTATCAATTTAATCCTTTAGATACATCAACTTACTAGTGAATGATATACACACGCTTCGAATACCAGTATTTATTTTTAGTGATTAGTGCATCGTCATATCGATGTCAAAAACTGTAATCCATATATACGTATATTATCCTATTATCTATTGAAATTAAACCAATGAAATGGTGCTGCATAGAAATTAAAAAAACTATCAATTATATTGTAATCTATACCTATGACGTACTATATAAAATGTACATTTCATTTGCAAAATAGACTGTATATTAAGAAATATAATTATTTAATATCTTTCTCGTATATGAGCATACAATACAAGGTGTATAATATTTTTCGACACTGCCATAGGCCTATTTCACGCGTACTGTGTCTTAAACATCATCCTTGGATTTGCTCACTTGCGTTCAAAACATATTTTCATCTCTATAGTCGTGAGGGCGGAGATTGGGATGGGCTTCATAAATGGAATAGCCTAGAGTGTCTCTTTATCTAAATACAGCACCGCTGCCATCGCTACCTTTATGCGTCACGCCAATGTTTACTACACGTGTATATCACGATTTTTGTCCCACCCGAACAACTAGGCTAAACTTTCTTTTCAAATCCCAAAGCAAAGTTAAAAATTTTTGAAACGTTTAATGTACGCTCGTACATTACACATCTTGTGCACTCACATATTCTCATAATATGTGTTAGCTTGTTGAGTCCACTTATTAACCACAAAATTGGTTTGAAATAACTTAACCTATACGTATATATATGTGGTAGTAATGCCCTTTACCGCAAAGCTCTCTGTGGATTAAAGATGCATTATGGAAGAGTTAAATCTGCCTATTGCATGGTAGGTCTTTTTTCTGGCTCCAATTTATTCACATGACAAGCTCATAATAAACTCTCTAGAACATCGGATTCCTGGGAGATTGAATTGATTAGATCATAGCATCGGTTAAAGTTAATGCGGACGCCACTCACAGACTTCCGATCGAGATTTCGTTCATTTTCGTTGCAATGGTACTTGGCAATCGTGACTTTTTAGACTATTTCTGGTCAAAATTTCAACCATTGATATAGTATACTTCTTTAGCGGAAATTCTTAATGTATTCATTTTTCATTATCTATTTTAGAACTATTTTAGCAAGAAGCCAAGAACGTCAGCTCTTTGTCTAAATCTTACATAATGCATCTTTAAATATAATCCAATGTCCACCCACAATATAGAAAGATAATCAGCGTTTTATATCCGATTAATTTCGTCACGTTGTATAGTAAGTAGCAAGTGAAGTAGTTTAATCTTGGATTCAGTAATACGCATAACGTGTTTTGTATTCGAGAGGAAATTCTCAGGTTGTCCTAAGTACTTTGAATCGTTTCAATGTGTTTACATGTCTGAAATATAAATTGAAAAGGCCATCCGTTGTTTTAAAATGTAGAAATGGTAAAGATGAAACCTTGATACTGTAATATTGACGAAACTAAGTGTTTACATTTCAAGAAGCGTCAAACCCGTTTTAAATCACATCTTTAAAAGCTATTGAGTGCATCGTACACTTTGTCATAGCAGTAGTCCATAAACGGAAATCTAATATTTATTCTGTGACGAAGTCTGTTGATTTTTTTACGATGAAAGATCTGTAATTGATATATAATACTTTAATAGTGAGATGTGTATCAGTAGGTCTTATTTTATACTTTTTAGGTCAGTATGTTTTAAACATACTCTGTAGGTACTACTGTTTTTACGTATTGCTTTACTTACGTTTCAGTTAAAAGTTTCAAGTAGAACTATAATGGCAGCTAAAGCTTCCTTTTTTGAGAGGGAAGAAGCAGCAATGAAAGAAGAATTGACCAAAGAAAAACGTAAGTTTTTAGTAAGTTTACACATGATAATATCAGACAATTCTTTAGTCCTTCTGGTGGTGTCTGGTCATCATTGCACTTTAGACAGAAAACTTGGTGAATGTATTCATAATTATTGTATGATGTAAATCATTGTGGGACAGTAATTTATATATTTAAAGGTTCGACCTGACCTCACTATGACCTATGGCCTATACTGGTCTGAGTTCAATGACCATGCATGATTTGGTTCATTGGTTTAAAAAATAAAATCTTGTAACCAGTTAGAACCGTGTTTAAAAAATAATAACCTGTATAGACCAGTTAGAATTGTATTTTACTTCATGTATTTTACGTTTTAAAATGATGTTAGCATGGAATAATGTGTGTGTGTTTAGTTAGAATAACCTGGGAATTAACCTATATGTAACCCATTCTGTATATTATTATTATACCTATGTTTTTATATTTTACAAATGGCATTAGTAAATATATATACAGTAAATTTTTTTATATAACTTATATTGTGCATAAAGCCATATAACCTATATAATGTATCGATCCCAAATATCTAAATCCATATATAACCCAATTTACTGTACATTATTGATTCTTTGCGTCTGTTATACGTTCATTAGGGCAGTAAATTGGCATTGTTCGGTTAATTGCTAATGCCTGATACCACAATATTAAAAATGAGTATAAATTTTACGACCGGTGATATTATAGTTATTGAAATTTTAAGCCTGAATAAGAGAAAGGGCGTGTAGTACAGTATTGTCGCTTACTAATATTTATAATGTAAAATTTATGTATATTTTACTTTCAACAAAACTGTATTTTTTTTATAAATGTAATTTTATTAACTATAGATTATATAGTTATAGATTACTGTACTGGGGCTTTAAATAAAGCAACAGCCTGTCATGTATAGCATTAAAATGATATTGGGTCAAGTACGACGTAATGTATGAAATAGAATTTTTACAAAACCTTTCGAAAGCTTTACAAAATTAAAAATGGAGTTAAATACAAGGTTAAGACAGAGTAAGGCCCTTTTTTTCTTCAAGTAACCTTTAAAAAAAACCCAAAAACAAACAGTATGTATGTTAAAAATGACAACCGGTATAATATCTGCAGTGTTATTCAAACATAAATGAATCGCCATATAACCGAAGACTTCAGTTAAGATCAAATTCCTAATTATACATTTTTATCTCGGCCCTAAAAATCGTTATCAATCCCGCCAAAGAAATTATTTTTATCCCGCTCCCAAACATTGTTCAATTTCGAAACTTGTTTAAATTGACAAGACAGCAGCTTTGATTTGGGTAATTAAATTATGTTTAATGTGTCGATTACATGTGTAAAGTGGATATAATCCAAAAGCGAAACTAAAATCAGTAAAAAACTTACTTCCCCTTAATATTTCGAAACGAAAATTTAATTCTGTAGGTTGTGTCCCAATCCACACAATACAACACTCTTTTTCTTACTCGAATCTAAGAGATTCGGCTCCCTTAAAAACATTATTTTGAATTGTTTGCTACTATTTGGGGAGTCACGGTGGCTCACTAACCAGGTTCAATCTCCGTGCTGGCAGAGATTGTTCCTAGAAATTTCCAGGCTGGTTTCCCCTTTTCTGTGTTCACGGGATACCTGGGTGGGAAGAAAAACCAAGATACAGTGTACATTTTACCTCATAACACCTCAATTTCATTTCATTATTGATTGGAAGGGATTTAACTAGCCTGTGTGACATCTGTCGTATTGGTACAGACTATAAATGTATCTAAATATAAGTTAATATAACTTAGAATATAATATTCAACATGGCTGTCAAAAGTAAGTTTCCTTCTTAAATTATTTAACACTTGGATACTATTTTGAAAGCTGATTATAACGTGTGTGTTTAATAAGAAATCTAATTCTGTCGTGAACAGCGTTGTATGTAGAAAAAAGAAAATCTGTTCTTTGATATTATTGCTGCTTTGTATTTCGTGTTTGTGTGTGTGAGTGTGTGTAAGGGGAGAGAGAGAGAGAGAGAGAGAGAGAGAGATAGAGAGAAAGAGAGAGAGAGAGAGAGAGAGGGCGGGGGATGTTCACGTCCATGCACTCGGGACCAACTCGGGATATTTTACCCGTGATATCACTATTATGGTTGTGATATCAAATTAAAACTGTAGACGATACGGGTCGAAGATATAAAATTTAAAAGTCATTATATGAAAACTAAATTGTGATATGAACCTATAATGTTCGTGGTTTTCCCCTTAGCAGGACGGAGGGTCTGACAAGGTGGCTATCTAGTCGTTCGAATGGGACAAAAAATCTAGATCCTGTGTACACGGTATTATCGCAATCGGATTAAAACACAGATTCTATTTCGTTCCGTTTTTTATAATTCAAAATTTCGTTTACTTGTCTGTACTACACTAGGATCTGGAAGAGTTGTTATATAACTCGCGTTCGGGATTAGCCAATGAAACGGTCTGTTACGGCGAGTGTTTGGCGTAAGTTGCGCGGACTGAGGGTAACCCGCTAGAAACGTGAACGCTGATTGGTTAATCAAATGTCTGACGTCATAGGGTCATAAACCGCTCTTATGACCTCTGACGCGACCTCCCACTACAACCGGTCAGATCTCCATGTAGTAGAGGTCATCGAAAGTATAAAAAACCGAAACGAAATACAGATCTGTATTTTAATCAGATTAATAGTGGCGTGCACGTAAAATAACCCTGTCCTCATAGCACTAGACCTGTCTTTGTTAGTCCAGTCGGTGTGTAAAGTAAGACGTTAAACCCTAGTACCTTTAATTTCAGAACATCTTATACTTGATGTTCATTCCCTTAATAGTTGTTCTTCCATATATTGTATAATGTATTATTCTCTCACTTGATCATCTTGAATATTATAATAATCTAATTGTGTTTTTCTATTTCAGCTCCTGTCTTGAAGAAAAATGAGGGAATATATAACTCCCTGAACTCTCTCAATAAACGGAGCATGGTATTGGATGAAGAAAATTTCGAAGATGTGTTTTTAAGGTGCAATGTCTGCAAGGATCGTTTTTCGGAACCAGATAAAACTCCCAAAATTCTCAATTGTCACCATTCTTTCTGTATGGAATGTATCCTTAAACTCTTTAAAACAGAGGCCGAGTATCGTCTGACGTTGACGCCATCTTTACGCGGTATGCCTACAGCGGTAACAATCCATTGCCCGTCTTGTAGACACAATTTCATTTCGACGGAAGAGAATCTGCGTCAACTACCAACAGACCATCGCATCGTTCAGTTAATGGATTTCGTAAAACATACCGATCGATACACGGTGACATTCTGCTCCAAACATAACATGCAACCATTGAATTTCTTCTGTGAACCCTGCATAAAACCAGTTTGTCGTGATTGCACCGTCATCGATCATAGAGAGACAACTGGCCATTTAGTCATGGATTTAGAACAAGCAATGAAAAAATATACTCCATTGCTTGATAAAGCTTTAACCGAAATGCAAAACGAAACAAAGCTATTAGAAGAAAAACGCATGGCTTTGGAATCTACGATCATCCGACTTGACCGTACCAAAATTGATCTCCTGCAAAGTATACATCAGACTTTTGATAAAATTCGTGTCAGTTTGTGCGAGCGAGAGAGAGAATTGCGGGATATTGCCGAAAGTGAAATTACGAAAGAGAGGACCCGATTAACTGAAAAGATTCAATTGTTGAAAGCCCGCAACACAACTCTAAAGGAACACAGTAAACAACTAAAAAGTGCCAAAGATGAGTCCAACGTGGAAGAAATGTTCCGTACTCATCAGGATATACGAGAAAGTAGAATAGCACCACCTATAAAAGTTAGAGAATTTGATGATGGTCTTCTGACCACATTTTCGTTCAACTCGACAGAGGACGGCATGCTTTTGTCTAAACTTTCGAATTTCGGAGACATTAATTCTAAAGTCGAACATGATACCTTACGACCTCGCGGTGCATTAAAGGCTCGGATAGCACGGCGCTGACTATATAGCAGTAGCCTTGCTTATTTATCGTATGCTTGTTGTAACTTTCGACCATAATTTTAAGATAATGATATGTATATGGCCGTTCAGCAATACATTTGGTCCCATTTATAATGTTCCGAAAATGTAGATAAACCTTAACAGCGATTCTCAGAGACCCATGTCATATTCCTCCCCTTGGGATCCCAGATTGGCCAGATTTCCTCCCCCATTTTAAAATGTTTTACTATTATGCGGTTATTATTGAAACTAAATTGCTTTATGAATTGCAATCAAATGAAACAAATCGGATCCCTTTCGCTCCCATGGCCACAGTTAACAAATGTCACCCGAGCATCGAAAATTAACATGAACAAGCTTTTCTAACCTCAATAATTCAATAGTGCAAAAGAGGATGCAGTCTGAAGCAGCACCTTTTTGTGAGCTGTTACTTCGTGTATGGTTGTGTATATTGGTGTTTCATTTGATATTTATACAGTTTGGAGATCCTCTCCTGGCTCAAATCCCCCCCCCCCCCCGTTCCTAATCGAGCTGAGATTCGCTCGGTTAGAAATTGTTCGCCTGGGAACCAAGTTTCCCCTGCTTGTGAATCATTTGGGCGGATGAACACCTGGCATGAGATATATGTAAGAGATAAAGTGACTCTATGGTGATCTTATATGGTTGTTGGTAATCTTAAGTTACGAGATCTATACTCATGTCCAAAAGAAAGTATACGCTGTGCATTTCATACTGCATCAACCAAAGTCGTTTTTCCATTCTATACGGTATTTGGGTACAATTTCAATTTGTTTTACCTTTTGTTGCTTAGAAATGTTGAGTTTGGATGCAAGAGACAAGCTCAGTAATGTTTTATCAATTGTTTTTAATCTAAACAAAACTTAGACATATTTTTAGTGTGTATACTTTCTTTTGGACATCAGTATACTTTAATATACCCTTTTTACTAGTTGTCCAGGAATATTTTATTATTCTTTGACAACTGTGATACATTTCTTCAGTCTTCATTCATTTTCTTTATACAAAAAAATTATAATTGAAAGGGGTCTAATATGACTTAAAGGTACAATATTCCAGACTAAAAGAAATATAGACTTTAAGTCCACACACATTAAAAAATAACCCCATCAAAAGGCAGATTGGTCCAATAATTATCAGTCATCAAAGGTAATTGAGGCCCTCTAAAGTTGTTGTTATTTTCTATTGATTTTAATAAGATCATCACTTTATAATGCATGTTCCAGTTTTGTTTAGCAGTAGAACATGCCCAAAATAGCTAATTCCAAAGCATTTCCTTAAACCACATTTTGACAACACAACGCCTCTATATCTTGGTAAATTTTCGGAGTTGTATTTTCTTTATAAACTTTTTTTTCGTCTTGAAATATTACATTATGGCGGTGGTCATTATTTATTTACGTGATTATTGAATTAATTTTCGGCTACGGTTCTTAAGATTTGTGGTTAATGTTATTATGATGTTTGAACATATCTAGTCATTGAAATGTTTATTATGTAAAGCATTTTATTAGATACCCTATTTAAGAAAAGAAAACAATCTCCCCAATGTCGCTAGTTATGATTTTTTTTTATTATCAAAATAGGCATGGACCGTTGTCATACAATGATCTTTAAAACTTTGTAGCGAGGTATTGTCTTGTCGGCCTGTACAATTGATACATTCTCCGGCGCTTTGCGCAAGTTAAAACAGCGTCAAATGTTCAAATCTCAACACATAGCATTACGGTTTGAATTGAAATAAGTAATTCTACCACAAATAGTGAAGAATGTGTCAATAAATTAGTTAACGAACAGTTTTTTCTGTATGGTAATCCCTTCTAGATTTTCAAAGCGATGTTTCTAATGCTGTACAGGACGTCAGGGCATCGCCCAGGTGATATCTCGCCATCGGGCCCTTGGCCTTAGCCAGCTCGTAAAATTTGGTGGGGCTATGGAATTTTTTGGAGGGGCTGAGATTGAGAATGTTGCCGGCTAAGCTGGCCACCGCAAGCAAAGTGCCGAAGGTGAAAGCCAGGTTGGGGGGTATGGGGAAATGGATAATTATATTTGCTAAACTTTATATATAGAATGTCTTTTTTCGTTCCACTCCAGTATCAGGACACACTTATGATTTTTAACGAAGTGACACGCGCAATGAAAATGGGTGCTTTCTTTCGGCAGGGGGTCACGGTGGCCAAGTGGGTCAGACGTTGGCTCGCGGCTCGCTTGTCTGGAGGTCGGGACTTCGATTTTTATCCAACTTCCATTAATGATAATCCATGGGAATTAACTCCAAAATAAGAAAGTTCGTCTGCTTTGATTATCTCCCTTTACTTGTATTTCGCCCCAAATCCCATTCAAAAACATTCCTTCGCCAAGAATGCTGGACTCAGACTAGCAATTATTTGCCCATTGACTTCAATGTTAAATGGCTGTAACATCACAGGCTGTAGCTTTTTGCTCAACATTCCGTTGGTTCCAATCTTTATAGGCACAATGGGGACCAGATTTGGCAATCTCCTCATCATAATTTTGTAGAGGGTTGACCATTTAGATTTTTTGCTACGCGGATTTGAAGTTGACTGGGGTGAAAATCTCACTTCCGACACAATGATTGCTCTGCAGAAAGACACTTTACACCCCCTATCCCTCCGCTGTAATATCATCAGTATTACCCAAAACTGCTATGAAATTGCAAATTTGATCCCGTTTCTCCAATTCTAGACAAAAATTTAAGGGAAAAATTGTCTATAACTCAACTGGCATCATGAAATTTGGGGAAATAATTACTAGTCTTAGCCCTGCTGAACTACAGATGATTCTGACAATATCCACTTTCTGAAATGAAATGAAATGGGGTTTAACGTCCTACTGTTCTGCTCCAATACTGGGCTAATGAAGACGGGCATACGCCATACAGTGTGCTATGAGGGAAATTTTGCCCGGGCAGCGGCACTATCGCCTACTCTTATATCGAATTCCAACTGCCAAGGGATCTTTTACGTGCATTCCAATGTTTACACGGGACCTCATTTTTTCGTTTCATCCAAAGGACTAGACAGCTGTCCTTGTCAGGCCCTCCGTTCTGCATCACTGACGAGGGGAAACCACGTCGGAAAATCGGGATGAACTTTCTCGGCCAATGCAGGTATCGAACACCCGACCTCCAGGCTAGCGAGCCAGCGCCTTACCCACCTAGCCACCGGGACTCCCTAACCACATTCTACAAGTAATCCCGATTAGTTTTATGAGAAAATATCTATCTTATTAGTTATATCTATGGTGTAGTTCTATTTCATACACTTCGTACATGGCCTTTCAAAAAGACCTGGGGAAACAAATAGGTCGCCATTTTTCGGAAAATATAAAATATGAACAATTAATCCACACTAAAATGAACTCAAATTGATTATAGAACATTTAATGAAGAAAACAAAATATCAATGATAATCTCTGGGCATGGATATATACTTATATACTCTTCAACAGAACCACTGAGCTGCACATGCGGCACATAATAATACTGATAGCGCCATACACGTGGGCGGGGTTCAGTGTCAAATTTGACACTTAAGGAAGGGTTGATGAAAACTGCCGGGTGCTGGTTTATCCTACCCATGTTTGCTTTCCTATAGGTTCTTGCATAAGATTTACTGTGTTACATGTCGACCAGGTCAGATTGCCCCAAATCGTGATTTGACGGTTGATTAGGAGCATGCCATGACGACTTGCTGAATGTCTGAGGATTGGTGGAGCAATTACTCATCAAGACAAAAATCAAAAACGTCCATTTTCACTTTTGACCGTGTATCTCTTTGCGAGTGAAATGGGGCCGTCAGATAAGCCGCCCATATGAACTGTTTATGTTCATACGTAGGCAATTGGCCTGTTATTAACATACACTGGTTACCTCTAATAAATACAGCAGTACATTTCCGCAGTTTTGTATTGTTTCTGAATATCCCCTACTTTAATTGAAGAGTATAATTGGAGTTAAGAGAGGCCAATCAAAGTTTCACCGGCTTGTGTTGACCATTTATGGAGAGATGTCCTTATTAACATTCAGCTTTGACAATATTGTACTTTGCATGGGATTAACAATTTCTTAAATGACTTTAAGAGACTTTAATCCACAGTGGTCATATCAACCCTTACGTGAAGGGAAAAACATACAAGAAAACAAGATAGTTTACATAAACAAGTTTATCTCATTAAGAATCATGCCCCATATCTGCACTACAATAGTTTGCATAAACTTTGTACATTATTGCAGGCAGCAAGCACTGCATGAATAATATTAATATAATATATATGTATCATAGGCCAAAATATTAACAACCACACAATCATGCCATACCGCCATGTAGGGTTGGCTGGCAATCATATATTCTTGGCTTTTTATCAAATCTGTCTTTATTAGAAACAATAAATAAATTTATTTTATTTTCAATTTATTTCAATTTCTGTAAGAGATGAACCATAAGTTTATGGTACACCTTTCATATTCTATTTGAACATACACACATATAACATAATTTGAAATATTTTCAAATCAAGGACACATTGTTTTACAATAAAAACAACCCTGGGAAAAAAACAAGATTTTAAAAAAAAAGCTCACAAGAACTTTCTTTTTTTAAAACAAAATTTCTCATTCTGGTTTCATCTTTTTCTCATGAGTAGCATTTCTACACGTAATTTCATCTTTAATATATAAAGGAATGTGTATTCAATATCTATTTACAATCCGTGCATTTTCAACGCCATAAAAATATCACAAAAACATCTAGATAGGTCTCTCTCCTAATCTATCAAATAAAATAACACACTGGTTTTTAATAAGATCTTGAAAAACTAGAACTCTCTCTTAAAGACAAGGCCCCATGGGTGATTGGCAAAAACATTGAATTGAACTTTACAAAACCACTAAGTCAAAATATGTGGAATTACATGCCATTATTGTATTTATGTCATCATGGCACCAACTATTTGTGATGTGAAACTACCTCACACTCACTATGTCATCAAATGATATGAAATTACACTCGGAATAATTCTAAAATATAAATCACCTCATGGAATTTTCTCCTCTCTTTCAGAACTGCTATGCTTTAAATAATACATGTTAATATTAGTCATTCTAGAGATATTTTTGTTTGTGACCATCTGGCATGTTCTCCTTTGTTAGTTGTTTCTTTGCTTTATCATGGCACATAATATCACAGTTACTAATTGCATTGCACTTCCAGATGCCAGCACTTCCTGCCTCAGAAACGATTTGATAAAAGAGTAAAAGCAAAGATAACTAACCAAAGAGAGCAAACCAGTCAGTCCGGGAAAATTAATGCTCCAAAAGGACTAATTATGTGAATGAAAAGCAGATTAATCACCAGTATTGAATTCAATTGCTGATTATCATCAGAAATTTACAATTAAGAAAACACTTATCAGAAATGTTCTATTAAGAAAACATTTATCAGAAATGTACAAGCATGTTTTATGATCAGAAATGTACAATCATGTTGATTATCAGAAATGTAATCTAAGAAAACAATTATCAGAAATGATGTTTATATAAGAATGTACAAGCATGTCTATTATCAGAAATGCACTAACAAACACATACCTATCATCAGAAATGCAATGATACAAGCACAGTTATCAGAAATTTAATAATAAAAACATTAATGATCACCAGTCAGAAATAATATAGATAGGGGTGGGGACCTGTGGTTGATGTGCTCTTAAATAGAAGCTACATGTACTAAATGTGCATCTTTTTTTATATTATGGCATTAGTGAATAAGCAGCAGATGTATCTATTTATAAAAGCATTATTATAATATTATGTATCTTAAAAGCACTAAATTCCTGTGCAAAAAGTTATGCCTTACAGAAAACATACACAGTATGAAGTCGGGGAAAGAAAGTGATCACAGACCTTTAATTTGACTTTGTCCAGCTCATGTGTAGCGTAGAAATATAGGAGTTCAACCCCATTTCATCTATATATGTAGTGTTTAAGGTATGACAATTGGGTAGGAGTGGTGAGGTACTGGTACTATTGAATTACAACAGTATAACACATATTTTTTAAGTAGAAAGATAGCATAAGTTATTTTTATGTGAATAACTTTTCACAACTTTTTATTTTGATTAGAATACAGATGGTCTACTGGTCTACAATTAACATACAAGACATATTTCATTAAACGGTATATGAACCTCTTTAATTATTACCAAGTTTACCATATAATTTAGAATTCTTAACAGATGATATTTTTTCAAAATCATAGTATAATCATACAAAATATTCGGAAGCTGTTTGGGATAAATTTCTATATCACAAATTTTTTACAAAATATAAATTCACTTAGTTATGGAAGACAAATTATTTGATGGTATTTTTAGATTGCTACAGCATCCTTAACTAATAATAAAATATAAGTGCATAAATTACTGCTTCCTAGCATTCTAAGTTATATAGTACAAAACCTCTAGCTTTCTCAGACCTTCTTCCATCTGTTATAATTATTTATTTTAGACTGATCAGTCAAGTCAGTTTGTTGGCAAATACTTCGTAAATCGAATTGAACATAAAATATAATTTAATCAAATCATTTAACTTTAAATATGGTGAGCAGTGGAATATGGATTGTAATATTATTAACATATACTATTTATATGGAACTTTAAAGCCTTTTTATGGTCAGAATAAAATTCTTGGGTAGGTTCTGGTGTAGCTACATGTACCAGACTTTAAGCCCAGTATGGTATACTTATTCAAATATTTTACTCCAATTATGTATAGGGCGGTGGTTTACAAATAAATTATTCATTAAGAAATGAAAATAAAATAAATATACATTCCACCCAAATTTTATATGTGCCATGTTAATGTGCATACGATGATCATCTTTCGATCCTGTGTCATGCTATGAACCCCAAAGAATCTTTCATTTCTTTCATAAATATCACCTTTATAATTTTGACAGTAGATCAATTGTCTGCTTATATGTTCTGCACAACAGTATGCATGATGAATGTGGGCATATTGTATCAGGCATCAAATAGATAAGTATTTAACAAAATACATGTTAAGTTGAAATTATGAAATGCACACCATTTACTTATCACAGTACAATTTAAAGCCATCACAATCATATCCAGGTTGTTTTAGTTTAAACCCAGCCTAGTTTACAATATTACATCCATTATATTAATACTTTAAAATAGAACATTAAAAGTAATCCCAAAAATATTTGGAACCATGTTAAGTTACACCTTGTGTTAAATTCCATGTGAGTATTAACCTAATAATATATTTATAATACATTTTGATACTTAGTATTCATATTTGAAGATGTATGATTTTTGATATTTGAATTTGATGTGGTTTTAATTTTAATAAGATGAGGAATAATTAAACACAGAATAGTCATTATAAATATTTGCCATACATGTAGTAAGAAATCTTTTGTTATTATTGCCTTTAGATTTATTATTCTAATAATATGAAGTTATACTCGGCAGGATTTTAAGTTAAAAAGTTTTAAAATAATTATTATTCATGCCTGACCAAGGAGACAAGTTTTAACTTTTAATATCATTGAAGCCATATTACATGTGATTAGATTTCAAACCATAACCTGTAAATAAAGTTGTGTGGTTATTTCTTAGAGAGAAATTCCAAAAGGTTAGTCTGTTCCAAGTTGTAACAATTAGTAGTCATTGTGACACATTATATACATATTAATTCAGAAATTCAAACAGTTAAAAGTACCAAATACCCTAACTATAATCAACTGCTATTTTGGTTGCCTACTAATTTAGAAATTGAGTTTTCCAATGCTTTATTAGAGAAATCTGTGAGCAGAAAATAGTAAGCTTATGAGAAGTATAATATTCCATGCAAAGATTACGAGTTCTGTTTTCTGAATTAATGACAACATGGCTTCTTTAAGTAGTGCATCATGTTCCACAGTTTTCATTGTTCACAGATTAAACAATGCACTAACTAAAACCCTGTTGAAGTGTATAAATATCTTATCTGATCAGTATCACAACACAACTAGGCCAGTTCACACAAGCATACACTTCTTAAGTTTCTTAATCAAGAACTTTTATCTTTTTATCTGCTTGAAAACGGACACAGCTTATCCCTATTTATACCTCCTAAATGTATTAAGATGTATATTTAGAGTAACTAATCACATCACGACTTTGTTACTAATATGTATGATGGTGTATAGTAACATATCCTACTAGGAAATTTACGCAGCAACATCAAATTTCATAAATATATTATGATATAAACTATTTCTAAGTCCTTGTTCTTCATACAAACAATTGAAAAATTTATCGGCACAACAAATAAGGCATCAATGCTTACTTACAATAATATATTAAAATGTTTATAAATATTTCAAAAAGCACAAAAGAAACAAAACATTATGTTAGTGACAGAAGAAAGATTTTACAAATACCTTGATTCATAAATATATATAAATAATAAATAAATGTCAATATTTTTTTGTCTATATTTTTTTCAGTCTTTTTTTTAACCCCCGAACCAATTTTATTTTTACTCTTTTTTTTTTCTTTGTATTTCAAATAAATTCATTATTCTCTATCCTTATAACGGAATATATCCTATTTGAGGATTAATACGAACACCTTATTTCTGTTGGCTTTATAACAGCCTTCCAGTCATGAATTATCTTCCTTAGCAAATCATTTATTAAAATACAACTCAATACACCTCTGTTAAGATGAATATCCGAATGTTATTTATCTTACTTGATATTATAAACAAAGATTTCACATAATAAATAATCTTATTAAAATTATATAACAATTCTATTTCGCTTATTATATTTTTTTGCTACGCTACATTGTAACCTGACATAATTTCTATGAAAACATAATTTCTATGAAAACTGTGTTCTGCTAGCCCAAGTTCTATAAACACTAGCCAACCATACTATAAACCTATCAAAGTCACTCTCATATGTTTGGGATATAAAATTCTCATGATTTACCACAAAATGCAGCCCCGGTTACCAATAACAGCAATTTGATTAGTCAATAAGTTTAGGTAACCTGTTTCAAAGAAATTATGTCAGATGTGAATGTAGCAGAACATCAAAATCAAAATTTAATTGACGTCTGATTTTAATCAGATCACAAAATAAATAATCTACTTGGACCAAAATAGGTTTTTGGTCAAATATTTTTTTCCATTAACCATTTTTGACAATGACAAGAGCATTCTGACATCATACAGTCTGAATACCTTATACCTATTTTTAAAAAAAAATAATAAAACTTGACAATTATTCTCAATCAATAAATAAAATCACTTTAAACTGTCATTATTATTTTGGCATATAATTTATAAGCTTAACAATTACATAGGTTAACAGTATTAGGGCTTTCTAAAAGGGGAGTTGTCATGTAATAATCAACAGTTAATGAGTTATAACTTATAAGCACACTTTTCTGTCAGTATCCATGCTGGGTAAAATATTTGTTGGTCTAGTTGAAATAATGTTTAGCTACATGTACATAAATAACCAATCTTTTCAAACAACACAAAATTTACATTTATTTTTCACTGTTGTTAGCTTCTCATTCTATCTACATGTAGATAATGTATGCCTTGTACATAAAATTACTTTTCTCATACTTTTAAAGTGCTATAGACAAAAACAGATTATCGTTATTATTAAAAAAATCCCTTTTCAAGAAAACTAGTTGTAGATGCAATATTAATATAGATCATAGTCTGGCCACATTATTCAAAGGATGAGACATATTTTAAACCTGAATGATAGTTGAATATAAAAATATTGAACTTTCAATTGTTTCAATGTTAATGTAAAGTATTTAGACAAAATCTCATTGAGATTATACATGTACATATACTTATGAAAACTTTGAAATAAAACAAATGAAATAATTGCTGCAGTAATTTCGTACTATTCTGTATCTTTATGTTCAAGACTGAAACTTTAATAGACTAGAATATCCGTTTGGTGTTCGTATTGCAATTTACACCATTGGACAAATATAAGTTTCTGCGTAATGAGACACAAGGAAGCAAAATAATCCTTATCAAACAATAAGCAGATGACATAAGGATAATTAATATATAATATTAAGCAGATTAATAATAATGCACAGCTCAAAATATGAATAAATAACTTGCACTTAATTAAGAACAAATGAAATCTAAAAATTTGCCCCTTAAAGGAAACCAAATGCTGTCTTAAACCGTCAAGATTTCAAGTTCTGTGAATAAGGAATAATCGTTTGTCAGATTTGGCTCACTCTTGGAATTGGAACCATCTGGGGCTAGAATATATAAAACTGTACAATTTCTTCAATATATATATCACTTGATGAATAAATCACCAATTCCTTCACTAAAGTCCAAAGAATCTGACAGGACTGTTTCCATTTCTGTCTGGTTGGAAAAAAAAATACTGACTTCACAAATTTATTTCGAGATCATAATCATTTGATCCATGTACAGATCCATATATAAGTATCAGACACTCCACTTCCTAATTAATCCGTTCATCCGTTCACTCATCCGTCCAGTTTTTCCATAATTTCACTGCTAACTACATACCGACTGGGAACTGTCATATTCTATTATAAGGCGTTTTATGTGGCCTAACTTTTTATGCAAGTATTCATAGCGTCTCTTTTGTTCAACATACTTGGGATCAGTTTTCTTGGCTTCATATTCCTTGACTATTCGCTTTTTCAATTCCTAAAAGAAATGTAATGAATAGTTTTCAAAACAAAGAAAGCATTGAATAATTTCAAAACATTAAGGAAGCAATTAATAGAAAGAAAATGCATACACGCTTAATTTAGAAAAATAAAAAAACATTAATTTTATATTATTTGGTTCAGTATAGACTTTTAAGTCTATCTTCATTTCTTCTTGCATTAATTAATACAAAAATAAGTCACTTTATTAATTCCATCCGTAAAGAGGATTAAAAAAACTACCCTCAAATATTTTTCTTTTTCCTTTGCTTTTCTTAATCTGGTGTAAGTTTTAATTTCAAAACTCTCTTTTCAATTCTATTTATCAATCCGATTGACAGTAATTACAGAGAGTGAAAATAGGGATTTTAAAAGCATTAACTTGAGAGACAAATGCTATCCTTACCTCAAAATCTTTGGTCCCTTCCTTACTTCCTTTCACCTGTGACCGTAACTCACCAAATTTTAAAACAACAGATTCGATCTGTGCATGAAGTTGTCGATATTCTTCATACTGGGTGTTAAAATCTTTTTTATATTTAAGTCTTTGGTCAGTATTGGTTATCAGAGTGTATGAGCTGAAAGAGGTCATTTGTAAATTACGATTATTTCAGAACAGCTTTGACTGGACACATGGATATTCATTTCAAATGCTTTTTGTTTTCTGTAACATTTTACTATAGTGTATATTATGTTCAATTGAGTTACACAAGATCATTCCACCCAATGTACACTGTACTCCCTCAAACCTTAACCACAATACATCTTGAAATGCAAAGACAATGTCTTTTGGAATCTGGTATGCATGTTTGACTAGACTTTTGGAGACAAATAAAAAAATATTATACCCAGAAAATCTGAATTTAGTGAAATGTCATTGCAAGGTCAGTGTGGCTACAATTTAAGATCCAAGGTTGAAGGTTACGAGGAAAAAATTAATGGTACATGTAGATTGGGATCAAGTGTGCATTTTGCCTGGATAGCCTAGTTTTTTCTACTCATTTTGGAATTTCATCTACCAAGTGATCTTTTATGTGCACTACCCAATATGCAGGTACATCTCTACATTCAATCTTTATTATCTGTTTTTCTTAGAACTTACCCTAAATAATTTGGCATTTCTCTTTTGGAGGAGACATCATTACCGTTGTCTGAAAAATATTTTTTAAAGACAAAATTTATAATTGAAAGTCTTCATATAACGATAATTCTCAAAATTTTATTATACAGCTGTCAACCTCAGCCAGTTTTACCCTACATGTCAAATGACATGACTACTGTAGGTGACATATTATTAAATCGATAGACAAGTCTTATTGTTACAGTACAATGACATATGATCAGTTAAGAGACAAGTTATTAATAATAACCTGTGTTGACATGTACTGTTATCTACCCTCTAGCTATGTCCGTTACAATATAAATAGTAAACAATAGTTTATATCAACATTGTACTAAATAAACTACCATACAATTTCAAACATATGTGAAAGCTTCTTATACTGTTGCGCACTTAAAATTTTCAGCTTAGTTAGTTTGTATTTAAATCATTTTAAAATAGAAAAGAATGATCAAGTATTGCATATTGCATGTGTGAAATCCACTTCCAAATAAAATCTTGTAATTGCCAGTATACTGTACATGTTAATTAACATATTTTTTTTTTTTTATAAAAGTTTTAATGAGGTAATGAAATTTGTTTTTGAGGTTCTTTCACTAACTTTCAGGCAGCCACTTTAAAGGGCATATGGCTCTATTTTTGTAAACCTTGAATAAGACAATAATGGTTCAAAAAGCACATATTAATGTAATATAAATGTATGTGTAAAGTGATTTATATTCAATTTTTGAAAATGTTCGGTGAAATATGTGAACAGATCAAATGGAACAGCAGTCGTTTACGCCTGCTTAAGTGTATTTGACACATTTTTTAAATTATTATTTTGTTGTTTGTGAATCAGCCTTTACTAATTACTTCCACATTGGGTTGTAGGATACATTTTTATTTGTTCATTACAAAATGGCACCCGAAACCAAAGAAAACACGACTCGTGTAGTGATTATAAAATGTTAATTGTATCTTTTATTAAATATTTGATATAAGGATCCTATAGTTTCATGGCAAGATAACATCATCAATAGTGATTGAAATTCATCAATACTGCATTCTAATTCGGGTTTTTAATTTAGAATATGGAAAATATTGAGTTAGAGACTAAGCTCCTTTAAGAAGTAATCAATGCTAGCAGTAACTGAATTAACCATAATTTGATATTTCCTGCACATGTCATAAACAGTCTTATTGGATGTATTTGCAGGATAAACAGGATTTACATATTACAGTTTGTGTTTAATTAATATAGAAATCATGTCTTCCTTTACTAGATTATAATATAACACCTACAGAATAACAATTTTATTGATTAATTACATATCCCATACACCGGTTCATTAAATCACAAATAAGATGAATAATCAATACTCCCACAATACCAGTTTACATGTACACAAAGCTTTCTTCACTCCCACAATTAAAGTCAGCAAGATCTATTTTAGACATTAATAAAATAATATATTGATATTTAAAAATCACCACGCAACAGCAGTACAAATCAGACTTAGGTAGGTGGTTTAATTAACATCATAACATTTCAGGTATAAATACCCTTCACAAATGATATGCAGATCTACCGGTCTGTTCAGCATTTGCTACTCTTTTAAGGGAGTGTTGCTGTTCCTCCTCTGATATCTAAAATAATATATTATGAGGACAATCTACCCAACCTCAAAATCTATTTAATTTGACATCCTAAACCGAGATATATCTCTTCATACTTCAGGGGTTATTTTTTACTGGAATATAACCTTACATCATAAATATCATTTAGTCAACTAATTCTCAATAAACAATAAACCAAATCAAAGGATGTCATAAAAAAGATATATATGGGGTTTCATAACTGTGGAATATTTTATTTTATATCTTTATTTTATTCAACATTTGTTAGTTGTAGTTGTTTTAAAATATCTGTAAGCCTCATTAAAGCATGTCTGATTTCCCGTGTTAGATTACCATTTAGACATTTATTTCTATTCTCATTGAGATATTTTTTTTTCTAATAGATGTGTGGGAAGTTATGGCTTTGATTACTTTGAATAGAATGTTTGAACGAAAATAACTCAAGATAAAAGCCTTTCAGTTTACCACATAATCAGCTATAGTTTCACCGTCTACGCTTACTGAATTATTAAATCAAATGTGGATTTTTTTTCTACGCATCTGATGTAGCCTACACAAGCAGACATCCTGGATAGCAAGAGCTAAATGACAAAATGTACATAAAAAATCTTTTAAGGTAAACTTACAAGAGAGAACTCTAAAATTATCATTTCTATTTCTATCTAGTTTACCATGGGTATGCCTTGTTTGTACCCCTTTAATGAAATTACATCATTCAAAGATTTTATTTATATATTTTTTCTTGCGGTTGGGTGCAATAAAGAGTTGTAAACACAGATTTCTCTTCTAAAAACAGCTATTTGCACAAAGTCACATCAGAATTTATACATAAAAATCAAAATGTTTTCAAAGTTAACTGTAGTGTTTATCATGATTTAAAACACCTGCATTTTCAAACTTAAACACCTCACAGTTTTCATGTAAGCTTATAATAATTAAAAACAGAGACTTCATGCAAAAACACCTGTAATCTTTAAATAACTACCTTTACTGGTATTATTCTTCCTTAATCTATTGTAACAGAATAACAGGATCAAAGTTGTTTTTTCAAAATAACTGACTCCAGGATCAAAGTTGTTTTTTTTCAAAACCAATCACTTAGTTATAGGATTTCACAATAAAATATCTTGACAACATTTCCTGGTCAACAGTACAAGGATGTATCTACTAATACATGTCATTTTCTCATTACAACTAAATATTAATTTGTTTTTAAGAATAGGTGTACAATATCTGCAAATAAAACAATGTCTTGGTGCATCATGCATAGCCAACAAAAATATGCATACAATAATAATTTGAACTTACTGCAATTTTTTTTATATCTAAAATTTTCTATTAACAAATTATATAAATTAAATTCAAAGAGCTTAATTTCTTGAGGTCTAACAAAAAGTACATTTCATGTACATGCTTTGTCAATAAAATAACTATTTTTTTTAATCTGTTTTTTTTTTCAACTTATCATATCAGCACATAAAATGACCACATGAAGATGGTACAAGTATGTAATTCAAGCCAGCATTTAGCATTAAGTTTATACTCTACACCGATTCCACACCAAATTGATCAAATTATTTCAATGTATAACTGTTTATGTGTGTGTGTGTGTGTCTGGGGGGGGGGGGGGGCGGGGTTGCATTGTGGTTTAGTGTTGCGTTTCAAGCTCTAGCTGCACGGTTATCTCTGTTTTGCAGTCATTTTTTGAGGGTTGCCATATCAACCTTGTAGGTTTTCTACCACTATTCCGTTACCCCCAACACAAATGACCCAGCTGAGAGAGAGAGAGATGGGGTTTAACTGTCACTTGACACAACTAGGTCATTTTGGGACTAACATATGGTTCAATTTTATTTCAATAATTCGCTTGCACATAGGGGTCTTTAGCTTAGAAAACCCACGAGGTTGGAGAGGCGACCCATCTACGTATAACCGGGGATTCAATGGCAGCCCTTAGGATACAACATGCACACGCTAACCAATAACAAATAACGTTCAAAATCACTTTCAGATTTCTGCAATAATACGGAAACACCTGACAAATAATGAGCTGAAGCTAAATCATGTGAGATGACGTAAGAGGCGACACTCGGCAGAAAGTGACACCTTGTCAGACATTGATTTCGCCCCGAATGTTCTTCCATATCAGTATGAGCCAATTAGAAATGCGAGCAACAACGGTGACGATGATGGTTCAGAACATTCTACCATTTCTAGCGAAGAACAATCGTTGCAGTCAGAATACCTTGTCTTATCACAGTCCTTCACTTCATTTATAATATTCAAGCTTCATCAGCGAAAATATATCAGAGAAAAACTATTAATTCCAATACATTTACCCTAGCCTAATACGGTATAATATGCCCTAGCCTACTTTCTTTGTGCAACAATTGAACAAATTTCTATCACACTCATTTACCTAGTTAAATCTGACAGACTTCCAACATCTAGGACTATCTATGATCGACTGCAAAATCATCGACATAGACCTACACCTAATTTTTTCGTGGAAGACGCTTCGAAAAAGGGATATTAATTCACTTTACATTAGCATTTAGGCAGCCTAGCTGTGTTGTTTACATTTCGTTGCTATGGTTACATCAGTCATTTCTACACTAGATTTTGAAAGCGGTTGGGTTTCACCATAGAACTATGCACAGAAATATAACATAACTGCTATATCTTGATCGACATAATATTATTAAAATTTCACTGCTCAGTGCACTTTAGTACTTAGGCCAGGGTCGACTAGCCTAGTACATGTACTTATCTTGGTTGCACATTGCTTGCTGTAAGACCATCGAGTCGCAGTTGCACGTTCAAAATTAACAAACGTTTTTCTCGGGAACAATGTGGGCACGACATCTGGCTTGCGTTTCGCTCTTGGGTTTCTATATCCCAGTTCCTTCAATCGACCAGGATCATGAAATGCTCTGAACAAAGATGCGTGTTTTGCTGTGACCAGCCATTCTCGCCTTGTTGACATCGCTGTTTCCAGACCTTTCTGTGTATTGCCTCGCTCGGAAATTACAAAAAATGCTTCCTGATTTATTGTTGGTGCTATTAGTACATCAAAATGACAGAATGCAGTGCTCAGTTGCAATAGCCTTCTATAGGGAAATTCACAATGTCTGTCGTCTCTGATGTCACTCACGGAAAAAAACAAAATGAGGCTGCAGATATGCATAAATGTCAATTCAGGTTTTTTTGGTATATTTCTCCTTTGTAAAATTATTCAGAACTACTTTTAAAATTTCGCAGAGCCATAAATATTATAAAAGATTTCTTTTCATATTAAAACAACTTTTTGCAGCAGTATTCTCCTTTAATGAAATCAGATAAAACTTTTTTTAATTCAGCCGTGTGACAAAGATAACAGCTATTCCATTAATGTGGGGTCCAATGTGTGACATAGATAGTAAAATTTTAAGTAATCTCAATCACTGATAAAATCATACCATAATAGGAGTAATGTATGCCATTTGACGGACAGTAAGTTAGTGACTTCTCATTGTTGAGTATCAAAGAAAAGATATGAATGATTTTTACATAAGTTATGTGCAGATTTCGTGTGTAAAGGGACACAAAATCCTAAATTTATCTGCATGTATAAGAAATACTAATGTGTTTAAATTAAATGATGTATTATTATTCAGTTGAGGCATCTTCAATAGAAGTCTAAATGGCGTATGTTTTTGAGAACAAGTCTAACCAGCCAATGTCCATTACACGGATATTCCCAAATTCTCGATACAAACTGAAAAGTCTCTGAAGAAGTATTTTATAGAAATTATTGCAATTCAACAGGCTTTTTTGTTTTACTAATTTAAATAGTGCATATATCAATTTCATACAGATTGGATGATAACATTTGTCGTTTGAGGGTTCTCAAGGTTCAACAAAGTAAAACAAGGGTCATAACTTTAGAAGAAATTGACTGAAATTGTTGAAATCCAATATAGGCTTCTTTGTTTTACTAATTTAAACAATGCATATAAATTTCACACAGATTGGATGATAACTTTTGTTTTTAGTAGAGCATTCACAAGGTTCAACAAAGTGAAACAAGGTTCATAAAACACATCATAAACGGATATTGTTGAAATTCAGTAGGTTTCTACGATTCATTAATTCAAATGATGCATACAAATTTCATACAGATTGTCACAAGGTCCAACAAAGTGAAACATGGGCCATAACTCCAGGAGAAATTAACAAAAATTATTGAAATTAAAAAGGCTTCTTCATCTCACTAATGTAAACAACATTATCAATCTTAAAATAATCAGATGACAAATGTAGGCTGTAGAGTATTCACAAGAAATTGTGGACAACCGATGGATGTGGTCGTATAATAAAATAAAGATTTTTCAAAATTGTTCAAGTTTGTTTGACCATAACAATCCATATGAACTACTTGTAAATACTGAGTATTGCAGTTTCACTTGTTAAGGGACACCAAATGTTGATGACTTGCCTACTAATAATTTAATCAAACCATTTTATGTAGTGTTTACTGATTTAAAACTTGAACAATGAACAAACTTTCAAATAACAAAAAATTTAACACTTTCGACAATCAAAATGAGTCGCAGTCTTGGCATGTTCCTGAAGTAGTATACTCCTCACAGTGTTTCGTTTGATTAGACCTAATCCTACTCAACCCTGCCATAATGAAAGAAAATTTCTGTTCCAAATTATGACTGGTCAATAGTCCAATTAACAACCAATACCTATCATTCGGGTTTAACAGAGCTCCAATTATGTTTACATAATGGTTCGTCATGATGCACAAAATGTATTATGCCCAATTAACCAGTGCATAGCAGATTATTGCAAAAAAAACTAATTGCGTGACAAACGAGGCATGTTTGCGAATGACTTGTCTTCAACGCTCGGTATGAATTCCAGGTACTGGAAGATATTAAATTAATAACTTGATCATATGTACTGTTGGATTCACTGACCAGTTGTTAAGTAAATTTAAATCTTCTTTGAATATAATCCCCTGATGGAACATCGAATACACCAAGAAACAGTCATTAATTCCTGACAGAATCTCCAATGCTGAATTCCAATGACACATTGACATCAGTTGGAATTAGGTCATTAACATACAGTTTTAAATAGCATTTACCCGTATGATTTTTTGTTTTATACACATGCTGACAGGAGTTTAATTTTAAAAATATTGTTGTTATGATTAGAGGCTATATGACATAGTCGTACGGGATATCATTTTAAAGCAGTTTCAATTATGGTTGTCAAGACTGAAGTGATCATTGTGTGTGGAGTGGCCGTTAAACCCACATTTCTTTCTCTCTTTCTCAGCTCTGATCATTGTGCCATTTGTCTATCATCGACCAATGAAAATTTTTTTGCAAGTTACCTGATACTGATACTGATAGACAAAAAACTACAAATTGTGTTATAAGAAATGCCATGGTGCCATATCAGCTTAATTTGGCTACAGTATTTTCTGATACTGGCAATATTAGAAAAATGGTATTATTTTTGATCGACTGATGAAACACGAAGGTTTCCAACGAATAAACGAAGAAAGTAATTAAATATGAATTAAATTTGGAAAATTTTCAAATGGTTTACCCGTTTGTCGTTATTTTTGTGGTAATCACATAAATTAGTGTACGAGATTCTATCTCCATAACAAATTGCCAAGAATTATTTTTGTTGAGGTCTGATTATATTAAAGAATGAAAGCTCATAATTAACCTATTTCCTACCAGTACCTGATTTGACCCAATTCTGGCCAGTTCATTTCAAAATGGATTAAGAACCCTGATATAAACATATATGTTTAGTTCCATCAAAATCGGATAAGAATTGTGACCTGTACACTATCCACAAACAAAATGTGAACGGACGTCCGGAAGGGTGATGATAATATACGTGGGTGTATAAAATGCAAATGACACATTGTTACTTTAATTATGATTGAATTGGAATTCAATTGATGAAAAATGAATATAATAAACACTGACTTTAAGTATATATATGTCACTTTATGTTGGTATTTGGCACTTAAGTGTGATATAACTGCTAGAAAATTTTAATTAAATTATCTGCATACAAAGAAAAAATATGTAACATTTTCATATTTGAGGACGAAAATATAATGCAAGTTCTGAAATTTGAAAAAAATCAGATATTATGTGTCTTTGTTTAAGGGTTGCATATGTTACACAGGACAAAAATGTTAACCCAGATCGTCTTTAAGTTTTGAAATTTCACACAATTTTTAATGTATTATATCAGAAGACAGTTCATCTGAGCAAATATATAACAACATAACGATTTTTTACGTTTTTATGACAATAATACTTCTTAACAAAATCTACAAACTGTATTGCGCATGCAGTGTTTACTCTCATTTTGCCATGGTCATAGCATTACTCTAATGCAGAAACATGTTTTTTGCAATTTAGCCTCAGCATTTACTAAATTGGGACTATCAATGTCTTTTGTTTATCATTACCAAAATATTCCTTATTGTATTAATGGGCTTTAGTGAAATTCACAAGACTATCATTACGATTGGTTCCATTCTAACTATGATCAGCATTTACAGTAGATAGGTCTGCTGTTTCCTCATTATAATAACATTGGTTTTGTTACTGTTCAGAATTCAGATAGATCCATTTAGATAGTATTGTGATTGACATCTTCATTACCGATAGCATTTGATTCAAATTTAAGCTTATATTTTAGTAGGTATAAATTGTTCAAATTTCCATATTCTTGATTGCATTGTACTCGTCATTTCTAAGTTTTTCTGGGGACTTGTATTCATTTCCTTTTTTTTCTTTTAGTTTTGGAAAAATCATTACAAGAGTCTTCATCTGTTTGGAGAATGACCATGGGTGACTAATTTCACATACGGTAGCCTTTTTCATTATTATTTAATGCGTCAATAAATGCTTAGTTTAATAGTGTCCGTGCAAGGTAATAGTCACACAGTCTCAGAATTAAATAGAAAGGTTGACTTCAAATAACGTCTAGATGTCATCCAGGTATAGGATAATCTTTATCGGACCCTGTCTGCTGGAAACAATGTTTATAACCATTTGGAATACAATTGTCTTATGGCAGAACAAGGTTATGGTAGAATGTTGCTTAAACCGAAATTTAAAAAAACAAAAAGGATAAAAAGAGTAATATCAATATAATACTGTGTGAACAACTATGAAATAAAAAGTAATTTACCATCAAGATGACTTTTTTCGAGGGAGATTGGAGAAGTTTTTTCTGGTTTTACTACATTGTTCATTCCATTAATTGGTTTTAATTCTTCTCGATCGGATTTTTTCTTTTTTGTATGAGAAATGCGGATCTTTTTATTTGGTTGATTATCAGCAGTATCTTCAATTTGACGTTTCTGAAAAAAAAAACAGATGTATAAAAAAAGTAATTTTACAGTGAGATAAATTACAGTACAAATCTATTGAATCAAAAATTTTGACTGTGGTAGGGTTTTTGTACTTGTAAATTGCAGTAATAATCTGTTTTTTACGAAAATCTGGATTGCCTATACGACACCACGAAAGCTGATATAAATTCTGTCAGTTTAGTAACCATATATTAATACTAGTGTTGTCTATAATATTAATACCTTTATGTGAAGAAAATCCTTCAAGCAAATTTCAGGGGATGTTCAGCACTATTAAACTTTTGTTAAAGCAACATAAATGATCTCAGACATGTGTAACTTGTAGAAGCATTTTTAAATAATAAAATATTTCTATTTAAACCATTTTGACTCGTACAAGATGTTCTCTTATTAAATCTACTTCATAATTAAAATATTAACTTTTTGATTGTAATTCCGTAAATACTTATATACACATAGAACACAAGAATATGGAATACAACCACTGTTTATTACTGAGTGACATTCCAACTAGGATTCTCTAGTTTTCATGAAGCAAATCATAAAACTAGATAATCCAAGATGATATATTCAATGAGCAAGGCCTATTTAAACCAAGACAGACTTCATACCTGAGGAGCAGATGGACTCTCTGGATTACTAACAATACTAGCTGGAGAAGGGGCAGGAGAATTGGAGGCACTTCGATTTTCACCTTGTTGAATATTCTGTAAATTTCTAAAACACAAAAATAAGAAAATCATTTAAAATTGAAAAAAAATTCTGATAAAGACTTCTATGTAGCCTACATGTAACAAACAGTTGAAAATATATGTTCGAAAAAAACCTTTCGTTAAACTAAACAAGACAAATCTGGTAAGTTTATAGCTTTCAACAAGTTAAAACTGCTCCATTTTGTAATAACTATTTCTGGGTTAAATATAATCCCAGTCTTAAGTTAATTAGTAGAATCGATTTCTTTTTATTTAAACACAACACATTTTATCCAAGTCATTAAGAACCTGTGTTTACCTTTTCAGCAATTGGCGGTCAATATCGGTATAGAGTGACCAATCTTGGCGAACATCATTGTAGGCATGTTTAGCCAGACTGTAGCTATTGTCTTTACCAATAATGGCCACCTGTTTTAATATGGTACCTAAAGAATTCTTATCCTTTTCTTTGATTCCATCTGTAATTCATAGAAAACCATGACCCAATCACAAAGTTAGTTTTCCATAAAATTAGGAATGTTTTCAAAGCACTGCAACTACATTTAGAATACGAATTTGCAAAATATTATTAGAATACTGCTCTTTTTCTCTAGCTCATTTATTTCTGTAGTCGGTGACTTAGCTACCAATAAAAAGAAAATACAGTGGATTCATTTGGCAGGGCAGACTGATTATGAACTATTATTCTGCAAATGTCATGGAAACTGACACCTCCAGCATTGAGAGAACCATCTTGAAAAATAAAGAAATGAGCAATCAAGGAGGAAAATTTTGGCCGGACAGCAGCACTATGCCCTACTCTTATTCTGAATTCTAATTGTCAAGAGTTCTTTTATGTGTACGCCAATATATACACAGGGCCTTAGTTTGCCATCTTGATTTGAATGACATTAGACCATTACTTGCCATGCCCTGCAATGATATCACAACAGAAAATCTGAAGGAACCTTCTCAACCAACACTACTGTCTTACTCATATTTCAAATTCCAACTGTCGAATTAGAAAGGTAAATACATTATTTCACCATTTTATTTCCTTCATAGTGCTGGTGTATATTACATTGTGTAAGTTATTATCTATCAACTGTAACATAATTTACACTAAAGTTTACCTTTTTGTAATCTCAGATATAATTCAGGTTTTTTATAAGGTCTAACAGCTAATAAATGAATGATTCTATCTCTGAAATACAATATAAACACATTATTCATAACAGACTAAATATCTACAATATATTTATATCATACAAAAAGAAATGACATTTTTGGATTAATGCATCATGCAGAATTAAAAATTAATGGCTATAACATGTACTTTAACAATAATTTATCACTTGATTTATTTCTTCATGCATGAGTCGTTTTTAAAGTGTACTACTCCCATTCCATCTGTAATTTTCCAAAAGAAAATTGATCGATTCATGGGGAAACCACTTATACATTTCTTTCTATTGATCATAAACTATTTGCTTTGATACCAACAACATATTTTTCAAATGCAAATTGTTAGGGAATGATTTGACAGAATTGTATTCAAGTGGAACGGCCATCCAACCTGGTACAATTCTGTCAGTCCTGGTAACGGATATGGTGCAAGTAGAATCATAGCATCTGCAGCAATTTTTTTAAAATGGATCTGATCTTAATGAGAGAGTAAACTTCATTTTAACACATACCTGTAAGGTAACGCCATAATGGCTGGATTTACTTTGGTAGTATTTGTATTGGATACTGGAACAGATTTACCACTCGAAGACACACTGGATCCATTTCCCTGTCCAGTAGGCGGAGAATGATTTAATCCACTTGGTCTATTAGGGGAATGAGATGAACTCCCATTGGCAAGATTAGAACCAGAGAGTCTATGATTGGCTGAGCTAGAGACACTATTATTTGAGCTGGGTTTGTGCATCGGTCTCACTGCACAGGAAGGTTTGCTAGGCTGAGGTTTAACAACATTACTACTGATACTACTACTTGTATTTGGCAACACTTTCTTTACTTTTTTACTAATGTGACGACCACTAACTTTGATTTCTTTGGCACTGTAAGAAAAAATATTGACAATTAATATTCAAGACAAAATTATGGATTCAGAAATCCCTAACGTTTTATTTCTAGAAAACAAAGGTAGTCACCCAATTCAAACTGACCAAAATTTCCATATAGTTCTGAACATTGGCGTTTCAGTTTAGTACACATTTAGAAAACCTAGAACTAATATCAAGTTCTAATTATTTTCTAATGGTGTAATATAATTATCAAAAACAATATGCATCCAACAAAATGACATACTACAGAAGGATTGTGACGGACAATTTTGCCTGAGTACACATATTTCCATAGTTAGGACTATCTTTCACACTAAACTGCTTATATTAAATATATTCAATTGAAAGACACTGAAGATCACCTACCAATTTTTTTTACTTTCTTCTTCAGCAATTGTCATCCGTTCCCGAGTTGTTTTATAAACATCCTCTGTAGCACGAATTCCCATTCTATACTGCATACTTCCTGGCAGTCTTTCCAACTTTCCCTTGTTTCTAAAAATTTAAAAAAAAAAAATATCAGTTAAAAGCTGTACTTGACATGGTTTGATCAGTCACGTTGCATGTATTAAAAGGGAATTGTACTTGCAACCACTTGAAAATAAATCATCAAATAACAAATTGATTCACTACTCAACCCAAGATTTCCTTAACTGCTGATAAACATGATGCTCATGGACTGTCTCACAGGGTTACATTTAACTTAGTAAGTTCAATAGAGTTGTAATGTAAAGTAAAAGTAGTCTACTTTAATACCAATTAAAAGATCTGTGTCATTATATTTAGCTCATCAAAAACTTACTTATAATTTGACTGTTCAATACAGTCAAAACTGCCATTGGGATCTTTGGGAACTTCAGAAATAAAAAACTGGAATGAACTGACAGGTCTTGGGTCCTCAGAGGTAGACCTGGATGGAAATTGTAGCACCTAGAAAATAGAATTCTGCGAATTAAGTCAAATGTTGGCTTTACGAGACATTTATTTTCCAATTAGCATCTGGATGAAGGTGTGTAGACATTTAGAATTTCAAATCAAAAGAAATAAAGTTATTATCTACAGCTAAATTTTCATGGAAAACTGGGCTAATGAAGACAGGCATATGTGATACAGTGTGTTATTGGGGTAATTTTGCACGGACAGTAAGCCAAAACATACAATCTTCATCAAAATCTTTGATGGGCATCTTTTTAATCTGACTGAATCCAAGCAGGGAGATTATCTTTTGTTGACATTTTGATTTTCTTCATTAAATATTAAATAATTAATTCAAGTACATTTTAGTGTGGATTTGGTGATGATCTGAGGTTTTAACTTTCTCTTACAAAAAATAATAAGACTTTTTTTTAAATTCAACTTACTCCTTTTTTGCCATTAAATTGGATAGATGGTCTTCTATTGGTTCCAACCTGAAAAATAACCACAAAGTGTTATTTTATATCTTTATAAGTTTAAATGTGCTCAAGGAACCCTGTTCAGAATATTTGGTTTACACCTCACAAAATATAAATTCTGACACTTAAAATATTCAAATAAATTTGCACTATAAAAACCTTGTAAACCTCTTTTACAAACAACAATATACTGACTTGATTTTATTTTTAGCCTTTTAAAGCAATGAATTAAACCTTCATTTATCAATACCTACCTACTGCAAATAACAGGTTTTGATTCCTTGCCAATAAGTTCAAGTTTTATGTCTAATCCATCAATGTTGGGATAAAAAAAAATAGTAATTTTATTTCCATTTTGTACCATCTTCACTTACAACAGTTTTGCCATTGGCTATGTTTATCATAACTTTACCGACTTATGTCAGCTAATCAAATTTAACCATATTAACATAACATGGTAAATTATAATGTAAGCTGCACCTTAAAACACCCAATTAATTTAATATCGGTATCAGAAAACTTCTGATAAAATACAAATTAAAAAATATGACCTCAAGAATATTGCGCACATTGGATGATGCATATTTCTAATAGTTTTCAATTCCATCATCAAATAAAGTAACATCATTCTTTCTTTTCCTTTATCTTTTAAACTAAACATTTTAATACAAAAAAAACTTGCATACAACTTTAAAAGTTTAATTCTCTAAAATCTTTCAGTCAAAAAACAAAATTGAAAATTGTTTATTTTGTGAAGAATGCGTAGGCCAATGAAAATTAAACAAGAAGATGGTTGAATACAAGAATCGATATTTTGAGAATGGAGAGCAACAAGTTTTATATTTATCCTATAATTACAACAAACAACATGCAGCTATCCATTGTCATTACCACTGACCTTTTCACCTATTCCAAAAGAAGAAATTTTTTCCTTTGGCTCTGTTCTTTGTTTTCTAATCTTATGAGCACAAATAAATATAAAGTCGGGCTATATACAGGTCACAGTAATCTTTACCCATCATTTTACATGTCATTTAACCTTTTGACTGCAGTCATGGATTAGTGAATGTGTCTAGAACAAATCTTGCCAATAGATTTACATGATGCTGTTTTATAACATTATGATAAATAGCACTCACATATTTGACACTTATACATGTACTGTATATCATTTGTAGATTTATGTGCTACTTGGATTTGATAGGATAAAAAAAAAAGGAAATGAAAATGAAATGAAATGGGGTTTAACGTCGTACTGTTCTGCTCTGACTGGGCTAATGATGACGGGATATATAAAAATAAGAAAGGGAAAAAAAAGAGATGAGTCACTAAAAATGTGCAATTGAGTGTACCACATTCTTTCACAATAATATCTTGGCTTAAAATGATTAAAAACACATACAAGAAAGAACCTTTAATGCAGTAAAAAAAAATAGAGAATCCCATGACAAGAAATCAGTCACATGCGACCTAAACATCAACCTACATTTGATTTCATCATAGATGGTATCACTTATAAGTTACATGTAGGCTACCTTCCTGCACTTGAGATCTTGATAACATGAATTTATCAAACTACTGTGATTGATGATAGAGTCGTGCATAAAAGACAAACTGGTCATACCAATTGGAATTTTAGTTCTTCAGGAACACCTCCTAAATAAAATGTGTTCTGACATAATAGGATAACCATTCTTATAAAACTTTGCACCTACTTAAAATTTTTATGTTCACTGACTTGTTTGGAAATTTTTGCCAACAATAAGAAGACAGAAAATAGGAAAAGGTCCTGCTTTTCACATCACTTCACCATCAACAAGAACTTAGAAGCCACAGTCATGTATCAGTATGAAACTTGGAAAGGGAAAAACCCATTTTATAGTTCATGTAGTTTTAAAGTAATAAGTACTCTCTCATTACACACTGTGACCTAGTATGAACTATACATATATGTATATACCTGCATCCTAATACATTTACATATATATTGTGTACTATATTTCAACTCTTATCTGTATTTAAGTTTAAAAGCATGATTTACGGTCACAGGTTCGCAAAGCCTATTTTCTGACAGTCAATGTTGTCATGACATATATATACATTCAGGAAGCTTACATCAGTAAGCTTAGAATATTGGTACTGATTTCATTAGCTAGGATAATGAACTTTAATATGTCGATCATAATATTATTACAATATCACACTATTCAATAGCATACTTTACACATACATTTTCAAATTAGGGTCAACGAATATACTGTTATATCAAATAGAATACATGTATGTATGCTTGCAAAGTTTAAAACAACTCCGTTAAAATCAAAGATAGGTTACCTAGCAATGAAACAAACATCCACATTTATCACAATTCTTTTAAAGGTAATGGGGACATTTGAAAGACTGAAAACTGATGTACATGCAACAATCAATTCAGTGACTATCAAATTTGACTGTTTTCCAATCTGATTAAAATACAGATCTATATTTCATTTTTTTTTTTTACACTTTCAATGGCCTTTACTATTGTAGCGGAAGGTCGCGTCAGAGTTCATACGAGCAGCTTTTGAGCCTATGACATCAACCAATCAGCGTTGATGGTTCTAGTGGGTTACCCACAGTTCTGTGCAACTAAGACCAAAAACTCGCCATAACAGACCGTTTCATTGGCTAATCCCTCACATCATCCAGAACACGGGTTATATATAACAACTCTTCCAGATTTTAGTGTAGTACAGACAAGTAAAATGAAATTTTGAACTACATGTATAAAAAAACAAAACGAAATAAGATCTGTGTTTTAATAAGATTGCATCAATATTGTGTACACAGGACCTTGGTTTTTTGTCCAATCCAAATGACTAGACAGTCGCCTTGTCAGACCCTCCGCCCTCACATTATACAGAACTCTTCCAAATCCTAGTGTACTAAAGACAAGTAAAATGAAATTTTGAACTACAGAAAACAAAACAAAATAGGATCTGTTTTTTTTTTAATCAGATCAACTGTTTTCTAGTTCTTTCTAGTGCCAACATTTATTCTACTTCTAGGTAATTGGATGATAATTTAAAATCTGTAGAGTTATAGGAAATTGTTTAAAACATACATGTAACATGTACTTGTAAGTTGTATATAACTCTATAAATTTCGAAGGGTCCACAAGATTTTAAAAAGTGATCAAGGGCAATTATCTACCGGATCGGAGGTACTTCTTTGTCTCATGAACATAAACACTGATCACTGTGTATTGGTAATAGATGATACCCAACCTTAACTTCCCTATTATGAGTACTTCGTCTAATACTCATAAATACTATGTAAGCTTATAAATTTCAATTCAATTGGGTAACTTTAGTTTCTAGAGCGTTCAAAAGATTTTTTAAATTTATCAAGAGTCATACTTCATAATCATACAGTAACCTAGACGAATTAATGGAAATAGATTATCAATTAGTTTTTTTTATAAAGTTAGATACTCTAATACCATCTCTATTTTATGCATACACTGAAAGACATGTAAATAACACATTTTTAAACAACTATTTTTATAAACAATACATTTGTCAGATTAAAATAATTCAGCAACGAAGCTGCACAGTTAGTGTCATATGACAATTACCTCTCTATTTCATATTTGCACATGTCCATCCGTTACGCAATGTGACATATTTCAATTTTAACAGCCTATGAATAACCCAAATTGAAGAAAACATGTGCTAATACTAGTGTGTCAAGTTTTATTTATAAATGTTTAAAATATCTTATCCTATCATATGTCTTAGATAGCCTAGTTACATGTACTTGCTGTATTGACAATTCATATGGCTCACTAATGTACATACAAATGTATTTAATACTACATGTAATACATGTAGTGGGTCGGAGATAATAATGACAGTAATAACAGGCATAGCCATGAATATAAAAACAAGGTTAAGGGACTGTAACACATATTTCAATATTTTCAAAAATAAATTTGAATTTGTAAGCTCAATGCAAAAAGATTGCAAGGTCTTGTGCCCTCAACATACCAAAAGTGACAGTAATCATAGGCTACACAATGTCATGTATAAGTTTACTCTATTACAAAATGGACATGTATACATGTGTTTTCATCAGAAACATTACATGTAATGTGATTTTCAACCATTATCTGGATGGGAAAATGTCTACAGTAGACCTATGAAGACGATAAAATACTCTAAAATAGATTTCATACTATGACGGAATGGGATTTACTTGGATTATAAATTTAGTTTTTCCCCAGTTCACTTATTTGCCAAGAAATACCAAAGGAATCATTTCACAGCTTTTGACATCTCTTGGGAAACTGGTGTGAGTTCGAGGATTGTTGTACTTGGAAACTTTTTGCACCATTTGGATGTGAGCCCCAGTGGCTTAGTATTAAGGAAAGGCTCTCTAACATGGGGATCAAGCATTCAATTCCAGTATTCAAGCCCGGGCAGCAGGCTTCTCAAAAGACTGTGTCTAGTCATTTGGATGGGGCATAAACAAAGGTCGTCCTGTACACACTGGCATGCATGTAAAAGAATCCTCGATATAAGAGTTAAGTAAGGCTAGATACCAGTTACAAAGATCAGTCAAAATGGTGATTGGTGTGACAGAGACTAGATCTGATCAAAACTCAAGGCTGACAAAACTACATGTAGGGTAGGCCTATTAACATTAGTACAGTTCTATTGAAATATTAGTTACAAGGGACAGTAAGCTTGACTGCTAGTAGATCTATATTGTCATCAATATATTGGTTGTCACTTAATCTTATCAGGAAACAGATGCTACCAGAATATAATGACGTACTGCTTGTCATTTCAATACAGCCATTCGAGCATCCAATAATGCATGTCAGCAGATATTTAGACTACTGTATTTACCATCTATCTGTATAACTTCCAAAAATTTTGAGACAAGGATACAAGCAGTAGATTAGTAGTATACCAGGTACAATTTGCTTACTGCCTTGTTCATAGAAATTTCAGTTCTAATTTTTCAATAAATTTACACTACAAATACATACTTCACAAGTAATAAAGATCCTATAGCATTCTAATTCAGAATGACTTATATAGGATTTTATATTACTCCAACAATGATAAGAGTTCCAAATTTTTTCTAGTTAAATAATTAATCTAATCTAATAGCCTTATTCATTGATCAGATAGTTGTTCAATCAACCATGATATTACACAGGTTCACACCTTTTTTTTTTTTTTGCCTTAAAGATACTTTCACACAAAAGTATTTATCAGGTGGTTATTTCCAATAAAAGTATGACAACTTTGTTATGGAAAGTGGAGACACCCAATCTTAATAGCAAAATATTGGATTCCTTGATCAACATCCATGGAGCACACACACAGGACAAAAATGAGAGAGTGTCACTGATTGGCAGACTGACAACTAAGGGCTGCCTGCTTGAGTGACATCAAAGGTTGCATGCAAAGATTCTCTCATCTCTCAGCATTAGGGAGCACTTGATATATATATACATGAATTTGATGGTGAGCAGATGTTGAAAAGTGGGAGACTTAAACAAATTCTCCTTTGGCTTTGAACCCATTGCTAGGTACTGAGACAGCCAAGTCACATGACATAAACATGACTTCTTTTAATAGGTTTTTTATAGCTTGGGGTATTTCATTGTGAATACAATGTTTTGAGAAGGATTTGAAGCAAAATTTTGATTGATCAATTAGTTTGAATATGTTTTTAATCCTAACATATATCATCAAATCACCCAGTTTGTACATGGGAAGTTATCTTTAAGACATTCAACTATATTTCAGTAATTCAATAATTCAGAACACCTATTCATACATGTACACAGCAGGGTCCTTACATGTATTTCTGGAAAACTCCATATCCTGTCCTTTCAGCAGGACTTGAAAGAGTTTTTATGTCCACTCGACACAAGATAATTTCGGGACTGACATAGTATAATTTTATTTCCATGATTCGCTTGTACTCGAGGGTTTATAGCAGTGGTGGGAACAGGAGAAAACCCACAAAGCACAAGGTTTGGCAGGCGATCAAATTCCCTGTCTCATACAAGCTTGACTCAATGACAGATCTTATGATCTAAAGAACTGAAATAGCAAGCAAATGATAATTTAATTGGAGTATCAAACTACTGTACATTAAATATGCACACTTTCATGTACTTCAAAAGAGACACTTATAAATTTCCATCCAATTGCAACACTGTAATTTAACTGTCTCAGTAAATTTCTTCTTTTACCAGTAGGCCTAGGTATCACGTCATTTGGGACTCACGTCATTTGGGACTCAACATAAACGACATTTGGGACTCAGTTGACGACGTTTGGGACTTGATTAGTGTCAATTGGGACTCAACACAAACGACATTTGGGACTCAATATATACGACAGTTGGGACTATTTATTTATGAGATATATAGTAACAGCTGTCTTAGTTGTCTTTCGTTTTATTTAGTTGATCGGCGATTGTTGAGACCGCGATAAACACTGCTAGTGAAAACGGTATAACTGCAATCAACACACGGCTGCCATTCTCGATGATTGACAACTCACGTTTTCCTCATCCACCAAAGAACCGTTAGGTTTCTTTGAACATACTGCAATAACATCGGGATTATCAGTTAATCAGCTTTAATTATCCCGCTTTGATCGTTGCCATTTCTTATATTTTCCACAAAAAAACTTTGCCTTGTACGCACTAATTTATCGATTGGTATTGCCATCTACGACAAGCATGTCAACGTGCAGCTCACGGATTATCGTTAACAATTTCCAGGGGCTTGAAAAAAAAGATTGCATGTAGTGTAAATATTTATTTTGTTTTTTGTGTAGGTCATTTTCAAATAAATTAATCCGCATATTATTCGTTTTAAATAAATATATAACTTTAATGAGAAACGATGATTATCAAAGAACCGTAAGTGCAACTAATGTTTTATCGTTTGGTTGAGCCTTTTACTAACCACGTGTTTCATGTTAATAAATATTTTCTTTCGTGTTTTGAATTGGCCTATTTCTAATAAATTATCCCGAGTCCCAAACGTCGTATACCCGAGGCCCAAACGACGTATACCAAAGTCCCAAACGTCGTATACCCAATCCCAAATGTCGTGGTCATAATTTTTTGAGTCCCATTTTCATCTACATGATCAGAAAGAACTGTGAATCGATTAAGTTGCTAATAAGCTTATTAATTTTTATAAAATTATGGGTATGTCTATGCACAAAACAAAAATATACTGGTAGTGTTCGGTAGAAATAGATGCTTCCTAAATTATACTTACAGCCGTAATAAATACTTTAAGACTAGTATTACGTAGTAATGGTATTTTGTTATTCTAAAGACCCTGATAAAGTTATATAAATGACCCAATACAATTCAGTTTTATCATTCTGTACCTCGATATCCACTGTCCTTTGACTCCTGTCACACACTGCAGTCATGGTATTGCTATTACCAGTAGGGTAGTGTAAATTTAGTCAACAGCTGTCCATATTTGACAAGTAATCTGTTGAAAATCTCACAATAATAAAAAAAATCCAACATATGTTTTCTTGTATATCACATTCCTTACTTGTAATAAAAAAAAATCATCTTTTAAAACCTAAGAATTCATATTTTAACAGTTCAAACACTAGTCTGCAATATTTTAGGCCTACATTCTCATACTTCACTTCAGATTTCTATTCCATATGGCTATCACTGCCATGAAAGACAAAATAACAAATTCATATAATGTATCAATTTCATGTAAAAATTATATCATTAGGACTACATATTCACACAGAATTATGTGATTCATAAGTGACATTTTCCTATTAAAACATTACAGACCTTTTATCAATTTAGATTCATTACAATATGTTGTGACTAGTTCAGTTGCCTTTTCTGTGTCAGCAGTAAATATGGTACTTCGCATTCACAGTTATATGGATATGATTTATGATGTGATATTACAAATAACTATTTAGTTAAGCCACTATTCATGCTATAAGCACTATATATTAATAAATATCCATAAAATTATAGAGAATTTCAGAAGAAAATCAAGACCGTCTGTCTTTTAATTTTTTGCGAACTCAAGCATTTTCGCCGTTTCGTCAAAGATTGTCCTTATTTAGAGTAGTTAAAAAGGATATTATCATATTCTTACTTTGATTTTAGAGAACTCTTCTATTGCTCGCAACGCTGAATCGGTTAATTTTACATGAATCACAGTTTTTTGGTCGATGGAAGTTTCGTTTGAGATGAGACCATAATCGTGTCCTTCCACCAGCGCAGCCATGTTGGTCTGAGCTAGCCTCGCTTTCAATAGTCCAATCAGCTGTGCGTTACAACATTGTAGCCAATATTATTGCGTAGGCTACTGTAGTCAAGAACTGTCTTGTCTAATAAGGCATCAAAATACCGTTCGACATACAAGCCGCGAAATAATGGACTTGTGATTATTCGAATTTGTTCTATTGTTAATAATTGACTTCATTGTTTCTCCGAGCATTGTTAACTGCATTAGAAAAAATATAACGAAGTGATTTGACAAACACACTTGAAACTACATACGTACAATATAGGCCTGCTAGTGGTCTACTGATTAAAATGGAAAAACAAGTCTATAATATTAGGCCTACACTTTCTAGATTATGCTTAATAATTTAAAAACGTGGAACTAATTTATAACCTTAATATATCTAACAATTTTCTTTAAAAAAAATAAACAAAAAGGCTGGGGGGGGAGGGGAAATATTTGCGACCTTACGACTGCAACTTTCTGAGAAAAACATTTTATATGAATAAAAGGAATTCGGCTATTTGAAATTGGTTGCGGTAATGGTGGGGTAGCAACAAAGTATGAGACTTTTCATAAATACATGTATTTGTGTATTACCCAGATCTACTATTGGAGAAACTTCCATTTTTTATATATTTTTTTCTATGTCGCAGAATTATTCCCTAAAGAGATAAGCCGGAACAACGCCCCGTTCACACAACCACGATCTCTGACACAACATGACAAAGGTTTGGGGATGAGTTTAATTTGCATTAGACAAAGATTTTCAGAAACAGTGTGTATTTCTTATGAACCAGCGTCTAAATACGCTACAGCAAAGGTTCGGTATGGGGATATAATACGTTGTATTTCATGGTCGTCCATTGCAGTGGACGCAAATATGACCACCGTACAGTAGACTGTACACTGATTCAGTTCTAAACTGTGACGTACATGTGGTCCTTTATATATATATCAGTCAAGTATATTACATAAAAGTCCGTAATACAAAAATTTACGTCGATCAGGTAGGCTTACGTGTATTACATCATGAAATATACTTATATAATAATGAGTGAAATATACTCTCACTTTACCTATATATAGCCTATATCACATTAACCTACTTACATACATTGATTACTCTATCTACTTGTGGTTTCAGGTCACAGTCATGTTTATAAACACCTTTCCTTTTATTTAAATAAAATCATACAAAACGAATATAAGCATAATTTACATAAATATTGTCTATCGTATCGTGTTTTGATTAGTTTTAGCAAAACGACAAAGAGGTGCGGACCAGGTTTGGTTAGATTTATTGGGGGCTAAATCCATAAAATAACGAATTGGAAAAGGGCATATTGTTTCCATATACAGTTCGGATTGGTCTTACAGTTTCTTAATGTGCCACGAAAGTTATAATATCTTTCTATTCAAGATAAGCGCCCCGTTATAGCTTTTTTGATATAAACGGGACCTCGTCATTTATTTGTCAATCTGTCATAAAACATTTTTTTTAAGGGGGAGAGCGGGCAGGGAAAACCCACGATGTTAGACAGGCGACACTCATCTTTGTCGCATAAACGTGTGGGGTCGAAACCGAAACCACCCATTCGGCCACTCAATCCAATCTTATTAAAAGAATAATGGTCCAGAATTATGCAAATCAATCAATTCAAACTTTAGTATGGTCATTTACAGTTTACATATAGGATACTGTTGATTCCACCATGCGCCGTATATGGATGGCTGTTTGTGTATCTTAAACAAAGTAACAATAATTCTGCTATATTTTTCGTAAAATCCAGCCAATTCTTCATGAATGATTTTTTTTTAAATCCCGGTTGTCATTAATTCCATAGTAACAGCATATTTCAGGAATTTTTTTTTTCTTATATTTTTATACATGTGAAGAACGATCGTGAAAACTATGTATACTTGTGAGACTAACCACGCTAGTTTCTTTTATTCAAACACAATCAAGTTCGATACTGAGGAATTTGACCAGCAAGTTTGTTGGCTATAATAGTGATTTCCTCAAATGTATATTTGGTGTTCTATAAAGGCTACGCACATCCTGATGTGTACACGACTCCCTATAGCTAATTGGACCAATGGTTTGAACCGGAATTTTAGAAACCGACATCTAATGACATGGGTAGAATTTCCAAAATAAGTTTCAAATTTTCAGATTGTAAACGGGAATTTGGTTTTTATACCATTTTAGGGAGATAAGTTATTAAACTCCAGCCATGAAAACTTTTATAGAAATTTATCAAAGAAGTGAAGTTAAGGGGCCTGTACCTGTCGCCATCAACGAGCAATTTCAATAATATTCACAAGATGTCAGCAAACCATTTACGAACCCGAAAGGACTGTTTACACGATTTCCGTCTTATTCGATGCTCGTTACCATATCGATTTTTTACTACTTTCTGTTTCAATATTTATATTTCCATGGTGTCAATAATTTGCAAGTAAATTGTTCTGTCTCACACCTGAATGTCTGCCTTATTTCCTAACCCATCTACAGATTTATGGCGTTCCGATTTACGGGAGAGTCTGAAAGGTAAAGGTCACTGGTTTTTGTCAGGTTTCCCCAGTCATAAACGGCAGATGCCTGATGATGGTCATTTGGAGTTGAGTACTTCCGAGACATTGTGGCGCAAAAATACACTTCGATTCTGGCGCAAAAATCACATTTACCTTGCACTTGCATTTTACGTCGGAGATAATACATCTATGGTGGCCTATCGTTATCATTCAGGATTTAACAAAATTTCTTTAAAAACCTAAATAAAATGAAATGAAAATGAAAATGAAAAGCAAAATCAAAATCAAAAGTAAATTAAAAGCAAAAGTTCAACCAAAAGCAAAAGTTAAATCAAAACTAAAAATTAAATCAAAAGCAAAAATAAAAGTAAAAGTAAAACCAAAATGTAAATTAAAATCAAAACACAAATGAAAACTAAAATCATTTTTAAAAGTAATTTGAAATGTAAAGCAAAAGTTCAACCAAAAGCAAAAGTTAAATCAAAACTAAAAATTAAATCAAAAGCAAAAATAAAAGTAAAAGTAAAACCAAAATGTAAATTAAAATCAAAACACAAATGAAAACTAAAATCATTTTTAAAAGTAATTTGAAATTTAAAACAAAAGTAAAAGTAAAAAGCAAAATAAAAATATTTGTTGGCCTATCGCTATCATTCAACTTTTTTAACGCAAAAGTAAAATAAAAATATTTGGTCGGCCTATCTCTATCATTCAACGTCCTTGACCCCAATCGGTAACCGTCGGTTATTTCCGACCGCTTCGACTCGACGGTTTGTTCTCCCGCGGTACCGATTGGGGTCAAGGACGTTGAATGATAGCGATAGGCCGACCAAATATTTTTATTTTACTTTTGCGTGAAAAAAAGTTGAATGATAGCGATAGGCCAACAAATATTTTTATTTTGCTTTTTACTTTTACTTTTGTTTTACATTTCAAATTACTTTTAAAAATGATTTTAGTTTTCATTTGTGTTTTGATTTTAATTTACATTTTGGTTTTACTTTTATTTTTATTTTTGCTTTTGATTTAATTTTTAGTTTTGATTTAACTTTTGCTTTTGGTTGAACTTTTGCTTTACATTTCAAATTACTTTTAAAAATGATTTTAGTTTTCATTTGTGTTTTGATTTTAATTTACATTTTGGTTTTACTTTTACTTTTATTTTTATTTTTGCTTTTGTTTTAATTTTTAGTTTTGATTTAACTTTTGCTTTTGGTTGAACTTTTGCTTTTAATTTACTTTTGATTTTGATTTTGCTTTTCATTTTCATTTCATTTTATTTAGGTTTTTAAAGAAATTTTGTTAAATCCTGAATGATAACGATAGGCCACCATATACATCTTTCGAAATCAAACGATTCGAACAGTGTACAATGTATAGCACTCTGGGAATCTGTAATTATTGATTCAAGGGCAATGATGTTATGTTCTAATGTTTCTTTGAATTGCAACTATTCTGCCTCATACTTTACAAAGGTAGGCCTATCGTCAATTATTTTTGTTAGAATTCTAAACACTATGGTGTGTTAAAATGTCCAATATACAATGTAATTGCATTCTGTGAGAATTGAAATGCCATTTGAAAATTGCCTATAAGAACCAGAAATGTGTATTTTATAAATGTCCATGTGTTCATTCTCCTTGTCGGTAGTGCAGGGCGGAGGGCATGACAATAATAGTCTGGTCGAGGTAGAAAATTTGTGGGAAGAAATTCCTACCCAAATGATTTCTTCATTTTCTGAAACAACTATGTCCCTAGTGTTCCAGAATGAATGAATGAATATTTTATGGTGTCCAGAATGTTCCTCTTGTCTTTTTGCTTGCTGTTGTTGCTTTATTCACAACACGTCTCCGCCATTTTGAATTTTGACATCACAGTGACGTCACAGTTCCGCCCTTTTGTATTCTGACGTCACGGTGACGTCGTACATTACTTTTTACATCATTTCTGGAATCCTTGGTATCACTTTCCGGTTGATAATACATTTCTAGGCTGTAAAATTGATATTTTTGAAGTTATAAATGGTTTTCAGTTTCATTATGTTGACCCAGGGGGTCAAAATTTCAAAATGCTGTAAAAAAAATTTGCTCAACTCCGATCGACGGGGAAAATTTTTCTGGAACACTAGGGACATAGTTGTTTCAGAAAATGAAGAAATCATTTGGGTAGGAATTTCTTCCCACAAAGCTGGATTTGTCACCTTCTCCAACCAGCCTATAAACAACGTCTAATTCGGATGGGGTGAAAAACAGAGGTCCTATTGTAGACCTACATGTTGGTGTGCACGTAAAGAGTCATTGACAGGTGGAGTTCGAAATAAGAGTAGGTTGTAGCGCTGTTTTCCGGGCAAAGTTCCCTCATGCACACTGCATGGAGTACGCTCGTCTTAATTAGCCCGCGGGTGTGGCAGACAAAGACGTTAAACCCTATATCTTTTCATAATATAGTATGTGTTCAGAGCAT